ATTCATAGGGGTGCGATTGGGTGGGGGGGTGTATCAGAGAGCCCTAAATCCTAACCTTTAACGTTGACACAACTGAAAGTTCCAATGCCTTCACTATCTTTCTCGAACGACGATCTGCGGTAGCACAGACACTATACTATCGTTAAGCTTACTACGGTAAGACTATACACAGTGAAAAATGTTTAGTCTATCCAACCGAGGCCGTGGAGCTCCCGGAGAAAGGGGAAGCGCACAAAAAATGTCGACTGTCCCTGGAGGCTCCCCTCCAAGTCAGTCGTTCGCTGAAGCTCGAAGCGAGAACAAGAGTTTCCATGCCATTGAAAATGAAGTTTTGAAATTCGTTACAGTAATGCTACCACTGTTGTGCTTCCTGGTGTCGATCATTTTAATTTGGAATACAACGTTTTTGAATTTCACACGGGATTACGGTTATAACGTAGCAGGAGTCCTGCTTTGTAATACATGAATATTTATCCTCGTATAATAATCCAATTGTGCAGCTCATCTGGCCAACGGCTATTAAGCACTTGCAAATTGCACGGGTTTATTTGTAGATAAATATTTTTATGCAAATATCACCGTATTATTTATACATTCTACATTTTCCTGATGGATACCTACGATGCGTGTTGATTTGACAAAGAACGTTGACGTGCGTATATCGTAACCAATAAATTATTTCAATTTTTCAGAACAGTGATAATACATAAACGTGTATATACATATTAAATGGATGTGTTCCAGCATTATACGTTTATATTCCGTGAACCATCCAGAGATCATCATCCATGCGCGTGCGTGTATTTCGCTGCTTCCCAGTCCTGACAACCTTTGACAATGTATGTCGCAACAGGGCGACTGCCAGAGTCGTAGCGGGCCGCGACGTTGTTCGAGTCCGAACAATAATGCTTTTAGACATGGATTGTAGAGCAGGAGCCTTGCACGAGACACGTCGTCTTGCCCATTATCGGAGCGAATAATCCGTGCTTCATTGTGTTGCTGGCATTTCGCTGGCGGAAAAGTCATGTTTTAACGTATTCCAGAATCACCTGTACAGAAAGCGATCGTTATAAATTCAAGGGCTTATACACTGACATCTACAAGGCTGCTTGTTCTTACAAACTGTCTTCGCGTGAACTAGGTTACGTCGGTGCTACGTGATTTTTAATTACATAACAGAGGAAAGGTATGTAAAATCACCTCTCCGACTTCCTGCCTCTTTCCTAAGACCTTTGTGACTCACTTTTTTTCTACTTGTACCTTCTCGCCTTTGTTCCTCCATGGAACAACGAAGAAGGCACTTTTTCGAAATTCAATTGAGCCTTTGCCATCTTGAATTTGCACAATTTTTATAACAAGTAACTGAATGCAGTATACATAAGTTACACGAGAAATATATTCCAGTGTACGAATTTACGTTGAAAATGGAAATAATGGACTGATTAGTTTGGCACAGTTAGAATCAGATCTATTGTTATTACGAGTGAAATTGTTTTATGCAATCGAAAAAGGGTGCACGCGCTATGTGCGCGTGGATGTTGAATTCGCGCGTGATCGTAAATGTATGTTTCCATAATTCCAAACAAGACGCGCTGAACCAACCAAATCAAAAATATACACGAAAATTCGAGTTTCGTATGTAAGTCATATACAATACTAACGTTATCATCTGTTCTAGACGAAACGCCTTTGAAGTGACGTATATCCGAAATTGATTTCTTTTTCCGACGGCAAGTATGACATAGGACATGATAGTGATGACAAACGATCATGGCTTACGGCAAACCTGTTTGCTTCTGTATATTACATTAGGTTGGTTCGCGATGTCCTTGTTAAATCATTTTTCACGCGAAGAATATGATACTGTGTCGAAAGATTTAATTTAAAAATTTTAAAGGACAGAAGGTGTCAATTTAATATAAATTTTTATTATTAACAATTCGAGCACGGAGGAGAGACTGAAAATTAATCTAATCGGCGCTTTCGGTACTGACTGTATTAATCAGTATTATATTGGCAGTAGATTCATAGCAAAACTATGAAACGAGGGGACGTCCAAAATTATAGGTAATCCACGCGCACCCTATTGAAAAAGTTAGTCGATAAGGCCAATATAGGCATTTCTAAATAATCAATTTTCATAATGTCAGTATCGGTTGGGTAAGTTATACAAAAATTGATGGATCGTCCCCATCACCCAGACGTACAATATATTATATTACAGATCACTGATGTTTGGCAACCTTTGAAATTGATGAGCAGAATAGCATGTTACAAAGTTACCCAGCGAACAGGAACTTTACATGTGACGTGTATGTTATTCTTCTTCTTCTTCTTGTTCCTTGTTCGCTTTGTGCTCTAGAGAGTCAAGTGCCAGGTGACGTGTATGTCAGTTGTAATTTCCCATCTGTATATATAACGAATAACAGCGCTGTTAAGTTCACGTTATGCAAATAACGAAGAAATAACAACTGACTAACGTGAACGTGACGTGCGGCATTGTTTGCTGGGTTCGTAATAAAAAAATGTTAATGTCAATATATATCTTGCGAATTTACTCGTTTAAAATCATTCAACTGATTAATTTAAACTCGTAATTTTAACTGGTAAAATTGTTTATTTTTCTTTTTTTTCGATATTGAGAAAACAATTAACTTACGACTCATATCAGAAACTTATTTGAACTATAAATTTTTCCATTGCGTGCATGGCAATTCTAAATCACGGGATGTGAGGCGAATCTTCTAAGGTTCAACCTGTAGGCAGATAGCGTGTTCAGGTCATAGTACCAAATTGATTTACACCGTGTCAAGCACATGGGTACATTCGGTCCAAGCTAGAAACACTGCTGAGTAAGTATAGACTCTGCATTGGTACGCATGTCTCACGAGTTATGATTTGAATATTGAGCCGAGTTGGATAATTAGTACTTAGTCGAGACAATTGGATCAATGCGACTATTAATTTTGTACACGGAACTTATAATTCAATACATTTAAATTACGGTCTAATTATGAAAATATTATAATTGGTTTGTTACCATTGTTGGGGAAATTTATTTAACTCTAGAGGCCTTACTGTACTTCTCGATGCCAGTCAACCAATTTTGTAAATTAATGTTCACTTACTGATATAATAATAAATAAGAAGACTTACCAAAATAGCATCTGTTATCCGTCACTTTGGGTCTGCTGTGCGGTTATAGTCTCACGTGCTACTACGCGTTTGTTAACTCACACGGTACATTATGTTATGATCTGAGAATGCATATCTGCAACAGTACACAATTTGATATTGAGTAGGAAAATAAAACAAATCTTAATTTCATAAACTCGTACTTAGACGTCACGCAATTTTGGCAAGGAATATTTACTTATTCGAGAACGGATAAAATTCGCACACTGTGCGGACTGTACAATAACACTAATTCGAGGATTTGATACTATGTCTACATCTTGCACATAGACTGGGTCAAATAATTGTATATACATACTCGAATCACAGTATTTTCTTTCACATTTTCACACGTGTTCCTAGCCTTATGTTTATACGGCTTTAAGATGCGTGAAGCCTTAGTAGATGAGCTTTAACGGAATTCTCAGAGATCAGGATGCACTATGTTTTTATTTTTTTAAATTTTTGATCGAAATGACGATAACACTCAGAGAACGTTCCGGTCCGAAGAAACGAAACTACGCGACACCTTACGACTGAATTGGAAACTCATGGAATCGCGTCGGTAAGGAAGAAAACATAGATTAGTAGCATTTTACTCCATGGAAAACAAAAGCTGTATGAGCAGTATGCACTCAAATTTGAACAATCGACAAAAGGCAGAGACGAGTAGGGAGATGCAGAACGCTACGGTTTTAGGCGATACCAAAATCATGCCGCTAAAACGTTACAGCGGGTCTGGAAGTAGGATTTTGTGATCATCGCCTCTGTTGACAATACTCTTTCGAATGAGAATGATTGGAAAGGTTAGCAAACGATACTTTTTTGAAAAACTCAGAAAAACGGTGTTTACACGATGTACTTGCTACGTACTTATCTTGAATTTAAAGAAAAACTGTGAGGGTGCAAACGATGGAACGCAGGGAAAATGTACTAGAGTGTTAGTACTAGAGTACTGGTACTAGAGTACGCTAAAAAAAATTTAGGCAATATTTGATGAGCAGCCTCCTTCTAAGAGTTGCTCTCGGAACCAGCGGTAAGTTGCGGAGAATCTCTGTCGGTCAGGCTACACGTTCGTGATCACATTCAGCTCGGCTAAGGTGGGACATGCATTATCGACGGAGGCGATGATCACAAAATCGTACGCCGCAACTCGCCGCTACGATTTAGCGCCATGTTTTTGGTATCGCCTAAAACCGTAGCGTTGTGCATCTCCGTATTCATCTCTGTACTCATCTCTGCAAAAAGTCATGAACATGATTATCATGATGGAACTATGCTGAAGCCATTTCAAATGTAGGTATGCTTATTTAAGAAATACCAAAAGAATAAGTACTTAAAAGGTCTGTGAAATTTATTGGACACAATCGAATTACGTCGAGTCCAGAGACTCGGTCGAGTCTCGCGCCAAGTACAGGCAACCCGCCGTACACGGCCCGCCGAGACTCTTTACTCGAAGCATCTCTTGTACCTGTGTTCCCACTCAAATATCTTATCCTCCAAAAAAACACTTACGTGTAAAAAACTACGCCAAGTACAGAAGTGCTGTGTATATCTCTAATAAAAAGTATTGATATCAGATTATTGAAGCCAAGTACATAAGTAACTACATGTTTGCCTGTTATATAATCTAGTACTGGCCTATCATTCTAATTTTATTTTCCAAATGTGCTATAACGTTTTCGCTACTCTTTTACATTGCTACTACTTTCCGTAGTTGATTATGATTCAATGGTTATTTAATAATTAATAAAACTTTAGGTGATTCCTTATCGAGTACTACTTGGCGGGTCCGTGCCAGGAATTCCAAAGTACTTACTTTGAACGTACTAATAGTATCCTAAAACTATATGTTTGTTATTAAGCTTTTGCTCTGTATCACTGGGAATCTTAAGTATTTTTCGTTGATGTTATTTTTCACCAATAGTTTTAAAAATATTGTACTACTGATTTCTAAGTGAGAATTTCTCTCTTCCAACGACACTACTCTAGCCGAATCCTCAATTTTGGTGTAAATCAGAAGAGTTGGGTTTGCGCGAATCGACCGTACGTAAGAGAGCGACAGCTTCTGCACTTCCTTGCGCCCACCTTTACGACATTCCCACAATCCCGTTGTCCTTTTACTAAGGCCACGTAATGTCCGATGCTCGACGTTCTAGATCGGCCACGGGTCTCGTGAATCGTCGTTGGTGTGTTTTGTTCCACGAGATATTTTCATCTTTCCATGAGAAGATGTGGCTCCAGTAACCCTAGTCCATTTGAAGTAAAACTCACAAGTTTACGGATTCTACGGAAAAAAATCACTGCTGGATGAGGTCGCCCCTCGTTTCGGGAGCTTCAGCTGTCCTGATGATCTTACGTGGAATCACAATAATGCGCTTCACCCTCGTAGAACTGTCCTGCAGATCCACAGTGGTGTCGCAGTCGCACGCCGCGCGCGACGATGCTGCTTTAATCATTTTTTGGTAGAAGACAACCGACTCAGGATGCCAGTCGCGTCGGTGACAGCCGACTGATATGCGACACTCAGGCGACCGTTATGTCGCTCGCAAAGAACAAATGCATCGTTTCTTAAGAATCATCGCCCATTGTGACGGTCGATCACCTGCAGCAAGACAGAGCTACTGAGCACTTGTGTTCTGCATCGACATACACGCTCACGACGCAAAATCCTATTGCTGCGGAAGAATTGATTATTGAGATAAAGAGTGGATCAGCAATTTGGAACGCTGCTGTCCAAGAATATAGTAACGAATGATATAGCGATTTAGAGTCCTTTTGCAGATCTTTTGATCCAAGGAATACATGTTTCGGTTCGTTGTTTATTCAGAAATTAGTAGTTTAGGGGATCCTACGGAGTGTATATCTTGATACTGGTAACACTGTTCGATCGTAGCGCTTAAAGCGGTAGCTCCAGTAAACTCTACCGTTCCTCGCTAAGATCATCTATTCTCCAAAAATGGACGAGGCATTTTCTGGACCTGTGTATCAGACCGTAGTTTTCGAAATACGTTTCGAATGACAGCATGGATGAGATACAACTCTGTTGTGGTATTTAATGGATTTATTGCGATATATTATGTTCGATTTCTTTTCAGTTTCAGTTGGTTTTTGATCTTGAATTAGGACATAGCATTCACATTCAAACTAGAATTCAGCGGGACTTTTACCTAGTGAACTTGTTCCAGTCTGATTTATGGTGAAAACTGCATAGATCCTAGTTGCAACAGCTGCAGCCCACAAGTTTTCATTGGAGTCTCGCACATGTATAGCAGATAGGGCTGATTCAACAACTGTACGCATTTCCCTTTCAATTCTTCCGTTCTGTTGAGATGTAAAAACGTTTCATCGGTATTTGGTATAAAAGAATCCAAGTTCTGTAAAAGCTTTTTGAACTCAGTGCCATTATCTGATCTTAGATACTTTTTTTGCTGTTGATTTGATTTTCTACCATCTTCATAAACACATGGAGTTTAGAGGCTGCTTCGTCTTTCGTGTTCAAGAAATAAACTTTTCGAAAATCCCCAGAAATCATTTTTAAATATCAAAAAATATTTGGCTCCTCCTAGAGACCTAATGTTCATTTCACAAAAAAACGACGTGAATTAAATCTAAAGGATCTTCGGCAACTTTCGAATTTTTGGGGTGAGAAATATGATGCTGCTTTCTATAAGCGCATTCTGAACAAGCACAATCGTTCCAGTCAGTGACAATGCTTGACATCCAGTCCAATGACATGCTTGATGCCACTTCTATTTAAAATATCTCTGACATACTTAACATTCTCATGAGCAAATCTTTTGTACAAAGTTTTAATAGAAACAGTTAATAGATGTTTTTCAGATTTTTCTTGAAGAAATATCATTCTTTATAAGTTTCCGTCTCGCTTAGCGATTGCGATAACTTCACCTTCATCGAAAGTTTTAAAAATCGATTCATTTGCATTTGCAATCTTCAATTAATAAAAATTATCTTTTAAAACAATTTTATATCACACTTTACCATTGACAGCTTTTAGTACTATATTGCTTATTTAAATTCCTTTTAATGTAATAGCATCACAAATCTTAACCATCATAGGCTCTTAAAATGTAACAAAATGTATCAGCCATTCCTCACGAGAATTCATATTGCAATATAGTAGCACAGTTTTGATATCACGAATCATTGCAATCATCCTTTGAATTGATGTGATTTATATTTGCAGTCGATAGACCAAAAGTAATCAACATGCAATGATTTGACTTTTTAGAATCATTCTTTTCTAACTTGTCACTTCTCTAGTTGTTATTTTCAATAGAATATTCTTTTAAACAATCTTGTACTTGGAAAATGGTTGTTTCTTACAATATTCAAAACATTCAGCAGATAAATTACCAGACAATTGTGATTGCTCTTTGTGATTGTGCTTTTCCAAATTTTGTGCCTTGTTTTGATATGAGAGCATTTTAAGAAATAGATTCATTTGACTGCTTACTCTGTTAATTTACTCCCAATTGCAGATATTCAAATAATGTACTCAGATTTCGCCAGTAACATTAATGTTCTCCGAGGCAGTACGAAAATGATAAAGTGTAAGTGGCAACATTCCTTAAATAATGGTCATAACCCAGCTCTCTTCCACCTCTTTACCTTCAGTAGCTAAATCTTTAGCACATTATTGAATTATCATGTAATTTTCAACTAAATTATTAGTATCACACTTAAAATTAAAAAAACTGTCTTTGTAAACCTTTAACTGTGAGATCAGACTTTTTATCATACAATATTTCTAATTTATTAAGTATCTGACATGCTGACAAGCAATTTACAATTTTCTTTGTAATATTACCACTTACATTTAAACCTGTAAAAATTTGAATCTCAAGATCTTGTTTAATCCACGTTTTAATTGCCTTACTAGTATTAGGTTCTTCAGGTTTTAATTGTACTCCAGCTGCTACAGACCTTGTAATTTAATGTTTAATTCAATTCAAACCTCTAGGAGACATAATTTACGTTTTCTTGCGAATCCTCAGACATTGTCTCAATTTGCAATTTGGTCGAATCCACAGCGGGCAGCGAACAGTAGGACAGTGACCAATGAGCAAAAACCTTTGAGTTTGAGTTATGTCATCAATAGCTCGATGCTCTTTCCCTATTGGTCGTTGCTTTGCTGCTTGATGCCTGCTGCCTTTGGTGTGCAGGCCCATTATTCGAATAACTCATATCTCGAAGCGCATGTGCGTCTGACACTGCACAACGTCTATTGACTGCCGTAAGATCAACCAATGAGCGTTGTCCATGTAGCCTCACGGGTAGTGACGTAATTAATGCCACGCTGGCAGTCATGTAGTACGGAACCATTTCCGAACTGTTAATGTTCGCGAAGTCTGCCTGGTTAAAACATTGAAAGTATTACGACGTGTCGTGTAGTGTTATTATTGATTATATACGTAATATTAGGCATTATTACAGTGTGTAAAAAGTCGGTCAGAACTTTCTTCCTTTTAACATTACCGATGATGCTAGTGAAACGTATAAAGCGGCAGGTTTTTCTGCCGGATTAGGGCGTAGACGATCCAAGGCATTTTCTATGCCTAACGTGCTGCGGCGTGTCGTGTGTAACCGAAGAGTGCTGACACTTAACGAAGCGGGCCGAAGGTAGTCGAAGGCTGGCGAACCCGTACCAAGGGGTACTGGGGTTACCGAAAACTACCGAAGAATCCCGAGCGGAGATAAATTAGAGCGCCGAGCCTTCAGTTCGGTCTAAACGCCGGTCGGTGTTGGATGTTTGGTATTATACCAATAAGTGAATGTGCGGTTGTTTGATAAATCGTGTCAGTGCGTCGGAATAAATCCGAGAAAAATGTCTGTGTCTTCGGACATGAGTTTGATGGAACTTTTGTTCGATAGAGAAGATCCTCTATTGAAGGATTCCATTAAGGAGGAGGCTCTGATGGAGGAGAGCTGTCGAGATGACGCTATCGTTGTAAGTATTGCTCACCCGTTCTCATCCATCATTCACTTGATGCTACAAGGCTCTACTACAAACAGAATAGTATGATAAGCCGCCCGGGCATCAAGCCTTTCATGCGACACAATTTCTCGTGGAAATATTGCTTATCTGGTATCGCATTAATTTACTGGCGCGCCGTTCGAAGCGATGCGCGAGCTTAATCGGATAATGGGGTAAATCTGGGACGTTGGAATACCTAGGATACCTCGAAATATCGTAACACTAGAATACGCTGCTTACTGTTAAAAATAAGAAGACGAGGGTATTTTGCGAAACGTCGAAACTATTTTCTGTCTTTGGTATCGTAACCGGCATTGAACAGTTTGTTTAGGTAAGTTTGAGAGGCGTGTACTATGACATTTTCAAAAGTAATTAATATTCGTACAAGTAATATAATCGCTATTGAACAATGTTTAATGATTACTGATACTAGTCAAAATTACTTTTAGTACTTTTTATTATTGAAATCGAAAGATTTTATTAACATATGGTATTGCATACCGCGTGGTGAACATGCCAACGCAGCGCCATTTTGTTTCATAATTTACATAGATTTTTAAAGACAATTGCAAATCACATGAAAATTAACAATATATAATAAACTAACAATGAACCAACACTTGTCAATTTATGCATATGAATTATTAAATATTTTCTGATATGTCGAACGTTTTTAAAAAAGATCTCATAGTTAGCGTAGTGGACCATAATGTTAAAAGATATTAATTTTTCCTTAAACTTGTAACTTCTTTCACATTTGACACGAGAAAGTTAGCAACAGGAATTTCAACTATATGAAAATCTTAGTTACTTCGTGGACATACGGGAAGCATGGCGCACGTGCCCGTATACCATACGGCCACCGCTCATTTATCCAAATCTACCGAATGGATTCATTCAGCATACAATTCTAAAGTCTATTAAACCGCGCAATTTGAATATAACTATTTCGAAGCATAAACAAATATGATGGGATGGAAAAATAAGACTAGAAACTACATCATTTTTTTTGTAGAAATAACAATTCGCTAACAATAAGAAATCCATTCTGTTATATATGTGTGTCTTTCATTAATTTCACGGCTAAACTGCAGAATACGACTCCTTCAAGTTAGCTGTGGTTTGTTTAGTTTTTTAAATGTAACCCATCAAGAAGGAGTGGTATTCTGCATTTTTACCCAAGTTAAAATTATTAAAATATTATTAATGTGTGATGGTACATCCCCTCATTCTTCTGATAAATATTTGTATAAGACTTAAGTAATCTTAATGGAAAATTTGTATCGATGTAAGATATACATGGGATTTCCCTATTAAAAAAGAAATTAAAGTATTTTCAAGGGAAACACGATAATCTAATGCGTCAGGACTCTCTCGGTTTTACGAACCCAAGTACGAAACGTTTACAGTAGTCTGACGCACGATTCTTGGAGAATGGCAAATACCGTTATATTGCGGGATCGATGCCGAGCGGAACGCCAAACTCAATTTTCTTTTGCGTTTCATTTATATCTCGAGAGCAGTCCGTCGTGCTGGTCGATATGAATTTTACAGTTTTAAGAAAAAAGCATAGTTTTTAAAACTTTTATCGGATAAATTAACTGTAGCTTCTGGCATTTGGCTCTCTAGTGAGGGCTTAATGCCACCAAGGCGCGGGGAAAAGATCTGTAGCTTGAATCTGGAAATGCCAGATTTTTCTTCCGACTATAGTATTTCATCGACGACTACCGTAATTGAGGTTCTTAATGATCCTTATGCCCCCTAATTACTTTTAGTCTTTAATTAGATATTCATTATAGTTTTATTTTACAATCCGCATAACTAATTTCAGTCTCACCGTTAAAAGGTAGTCATAGACCCTTAATGGTTGTATACCTATATTTTGGAGTATTCTGGATCTATTATATTTGCATAGATCGTTAGCCTCAAAATGAGATCTATTATAATAATTAAGTACTACAATTAGGATAAAGTTAGATTGATATACTCGTACTTTTAATTATGGTTAGCTCTATGAGAGGTATGCGAGTTTAAAGAATTTTAGATATTGAATGCATATGGAAATATATACAAATTTTGCTAAATCTTGTATATTCAACATTTATGAATAAATTATTGAATTTCTTAAAATTCATGCAATTTAGTTATAGAATATAATTATTGCAAGAATGAGTTAGTGATTTTCATAAAAGAACAACAAAGACGATAGGGATCTAAATATACAAATGTTCATACAAACTATATTGCTTAGAGAGAATTGTGTAATAAAATTCATATATAATTAACCTACAACAATTAATACTACTTGGTTGCCAATTACAGACAGAAGAATGGCCCACGAATCCTGATGACTTCCTGGATTCCATTTTTAAGCTGGATAATCAATTCAGCCTCATTGACAACAATGAACTCGAAGCTATACCATCTTCATCCTCTGACAGTGGACTATCCAGCGCTCTAAGTTTGTCATGCGAACAACAACTGAGTCCTTTACTCACAATAGAAGAGGACCAGATGGAATTTGCAGAATCAGAGATTAGCAGTCCCCAAAACTTTGTTGACTTCGACAGTCTTGGCAGTCCGAATCAATCCTTAACAAGTATGGACAGCCCTGTCAGATCTGTTTTCAGCAGCAATATGGGTTCGCCAATTATTGAGGATAATATCGACGAGATGGAGTTTCAGCCAACTGTTGTTGGCTTAGTTAACACCAATGAGCCTTTGGTTAACCAGGAGTCACAACAGCACATTAAGTTCAGTAAGTGTCCATCACGTGGATCAGATGGCTTGTAGCCTAGAGAGGTCGCTCTTGAATATCTATACTTTGGTTTAGGAATATATAAGTCTAATTGCCCCGATGACGTCACGATTGATTTAGACCTCAGAAAATGGAACGTGAACTTTTGATTCTTAAAATATGGCCTGTGTTCACGTTAGGATTCAAGGAGTGCTTGAATAGATATAAATAGAGCTTGCTAGTTGTTTAAAGTCGCAAAAATGTATTCTACGCCTGGCTGCCGTTCACGTAGAAGCTCAAAAGTTAATCAGTAATATGTAAATAAAAATCGAAGAAAACAGAATACTGTTAACGGGCTTATTGAAATTTATCAATAATTTATCTGCAAAGACAGGAAATTCTTGATACGCCAAATATTCTCACATTTTAGTCTGTTGTTTCCTAAATGTCTCATTAGTTTTGCGTATTGGAATGTGTGAATTGTTTCTCCGGGCTGATAAATATTTCTTATTAAAACCACATGTTACTCGCGTCATATATTATACAAGATGCAATTATCCTCATAGTTACATGTGTTGAAGTAGGTGATGATGAGTGTAACGCATGTTTATTTCTTATGAATTCAGATGTCACATCAAAGCCAGCACAAGTACAAACACCATCGGCACAGGAAGCCACTTTGAACCTACGTAATCTGACATGCAACGGGAAGCGAAATATTAGACAACTGATTCGTGTGACTCCAGTCGGCTCAGGCAATCCGAGATCAATCTTGCTGCCTGTCAGCTTGAAGGACATGAAGGAGGTTAGAACGATAAAAATCATCAACGCGTCGCAGGCACGAAATCTTAAAGGTTTTAAGATCAACCATGGTAGCGTAATCGGGAAGTCACTTTCTGCGAGTCATCCGCAGCAGCAAACTCATCTCGCTGGCAATGTACCAGGCGCGATACGCTGTCGTAGTTCACTGCAGTCATTCGACATCGTCTCTGAACAGATTGGTATTAAACAGCAGGATGATTCTGGGAGCGAGAAGGGCGGCAATTCCAGCGACGAGGTGTCTGAAACCGATTCGCCTTATCCTAGACTGAAATTGAATTCTGAAGAGAAGAGGTTACTCCAGAAGGAGGGTATCACGTTGCCCAGTCACTATCCACTGACAAAACATGAAGAACGCGAACTCAAGAGGATCAGACGTAAGATCCGCAACAAGATTTCTGCTCAAGATTCGCGTAAACGGAAAAAGGAATACGTTGATGGCCTTGAGGATAGGGTCAAACAGTGCACTGAGGAGAATATGACGTTATTAAAGAGGATCAAGGCACTTCAGACACAAAATCAGAGTCTTGCCGGTCAACTCAAACGACTTCAGGCTCTCATACAAAAAGGGAATAAAAGTGCTCAGCCTGCCACCTGTCTAATGGTTCTCTTACTGTCACTCGCACTCGTCGCTGTGCCTAACCTTCGACCTCATTCTGGATCCAACAGTAATGACCTCGCACAGGATCAGGAACAGCCCGAGAAGATGCCTCCGTTAGCAGGTCAGTTGATTTATATGGTTTCTTTTCTTGAAATTGCACAAATTTTGGTTTATTAATAATATGACCTTATTGGAGTTCAGAAAATTTCGTAAATTCTTCCTAACTATATAAATGAGAGAGTCTTAATATTTGTTAAGCTACTGATTTAAATTTCGAAGTTTACTACGTCTTTATACGAAATAACTTAAATTCGAAACCTTTCGACTTCAGCAGAACATTAGTTGATCATCAGTTATTAGGCCCCTTTCACTTTTATAATATTCAGCGACCTCAGTGACGTATAATTTCTAGTTGGACGTAGACCTCATTTGAACCAAGTGTAGTATTTACTCTGTGCGGCACTAATTTAACTAAGCGGCACAAGGTCAAAATTTGAAAATGAGATTAAACTGCACAGACGCATTCTGATAAGCGACTGGATAATAAGATTTAGAGTCCGAACATACGGAACCAGTCCAGGTCGGTCTCGGACATTGAACCCGTTAGTTTGTGAAAGGCTTCACACTTCTTATAATACCATCTCTCGTTGCACTGAGTTTTAATACTCTGACCATAACATAACCGAACTCGGTACCATCCATCCATTCTTCTCCATATCATTATTATTCTTTTTGCATTGAATTTCTTGTTACGGTTCTTCATGCTTCGTTGCAGGAAGATCGGTCGTTCGGTTCAGTCAACCGAGCAACTTGAAAGTCTTGATCAGTGAAAGAGAATGAAGAAAAGGGGAAAAAATGTTAGATTTCACCTTTCCAACTAATAAATGGAAGGAAAATTCAGTGATTAATTTTTATAGTTTTGGAAGCTACAGCTGTGCGCCGTGCAAATAATAACGTGATTTCCGTTATCATCAAGGTCCTTTAGATACTTCGTAGCATACGTATCTATACACGTGTAGCACAAATAATATAGGAATTTGGGAAGACAAATATTTATGTAATTTTAACAAGGAAAATGATTAGATAATTATTTGGAAATACGAGAAAAGTGGCTTTGGAGAAACCGAAAAGTCAAAGTCAAAACTTGAAAACTTGAACAAAATTCTTTCACAATTTTCTGAAATGACAATTCTATATATGACTGAAAGAAACTGTTCGTCAGCCGAACACAACGATAGTTCAGGAGCACATATTTTTGAACTTGATTTATAAGCGTATTTCGTTATTCCTCCACAAGGGCTAACTACGCGGCAAATTCTTTCTTTAGTGCAAGTTCGGCTATTTTTGCTTGCCATGCAACTACACGTGACGGCCGCGCATTTTTTCAACTTGTACGTGTCTTCGAAATTGCGTGACGCAACAAGTGGAATCAAGTAATTCGATGCGCAGTTATATTTATCATTGCGAGTAACTAGAAAATATTAGAGGAATCGAGTTCATGTAAAATATCAAAATTTTTCAGAAATTCCAGAATAATCTACCAAGGTTCTGTATTTGTTAAAAAAAAACAATATAAGATGCTAGAGACGCTGATTCTTCACTTTCTTATCATCGACCTACGATAAGATATCAATCTCTTGAAAATTGAAAATAACCACTGAAGAGAAGATATTCGAAATTTTAACACAATTCGAACAATAATATTTTATCAAATAAATACGTAAAGTACTAGCGTTAAGATCCGACATTCTTATTTCCGACGTATCTGACTAGCATGTATTTCAAAGCAGACAAATTCTAACGGTACTAAATGACGAACTTAACTACCAGCTAGATGCTCGTGCTTGGTCACAATTCCCATGAAAAAGTTTATAATCTGCAATTTTTGACATCCACTGCCTGATCTTACTATGAAAAGCAACGAATCTGGATCACGTCCAAAACCAGCAACATAAGAGCATAAAAACTGGTTTCACCACTTTCCACAAGATGGCCGTATCACAATCTCACGATAGAGAACAGTCCTCCCGGTGGCTTTCTTTATCTCTGATACTTTGACCTCAATGCTCACTAGAGAAGGATCTCCTATGCTACACAGATAACTAGTAATAATTTTACGCTCTACTGTCAGGGCCAAAAAGCTATGTGCTTCGATATGACAAGTGATAACAGTATTTAATCATTTGAGTGCCTCGGGTCGCTGTAGAAATCCGATGAAAAAGTGCCAAGCGGCACGAACGCACTTCCCTCGTTTCATATCGAACAATACCAAACTATTTGACATAGAACGAGAGCAGCGCCACCGCGCCGCGTCCCACTCAAACTGCTAGTAACGACCTGTACGTTAAGTTTCAAGTTTTTCCCACGAGTTTGGAATCTTTGGAGGAATTGTCATTGGCCAAACTAATGGTGTAGTTCAAAGTCGTTAGCGCTTACCAGAGCTGATTCGTGTCCGTTATTAGCATTCACACGAGGATATGAGTGAAAAATAAACGTGGAACGTGTTGCGTGCGTGTACAGTAACCGTGGCCGGTTTTGGTAATCACTCGCCGCGTTCAGGTATCGTTGGAACTCTATGCCAATGACCTTTAGGAAGGAACCCCGCCCTATAGGGACAGCTAAACCCTACAACCTGTTGCTGCGTCATCGTCGTGAACAAAGATCAGGACGAGGTCTATCTGGATATGAATTAGCGTCCAAGTAATACTGTCGTGATGCAATTACCAGGCTTGCAATTAAGAAAGAAGCTTGCAATGATGCAATTACTTGATCCATATCATTATGCAATTACTCATTCTCAGTAATATCCAAAATGGAATTCCAATAACTCTCGAATTACAGCTATATCTAGGTCACTGAAAATCATCGTAAGACACTCGCGTGTTACATGCAATTCTGTATAACGAGTCTAACTCATTTTGTATACAGTTATGGTATTATATATAAACTGATTTTCTGAACTTGCACCGTCTTTAAGGTCGTTCCCGAAGCTTGCTGTTCACCAAGCAGCTGATGGATGAAGAACTTCAACAGTACGGCGAAGAGTTGCTACAGGAAGTTGAAGGTTTATTGGATCATGACTACAGTCCAGTTGTGCAAGTGCCGCCTCACAAACGTGCACGCTATGAAGTTGAACCGGGACCGAAGTATAGCCCGAGTTCAGATCACGTGGGTGGGACGCTTCTTGGCCTCAAAACTGAACGGAACTATATAGAACCGCCGTTGGACGATGTATGGCCTCCACCACCACCGCCAGAACCGCCAACAATTGGTAAAAATGGGCTAAAAACAGTGGATAAGTTAGAAGCCCTCACGAACGAACTCAAGATTAATATTTCGGATGCTGACGGGACCAGGACGGTTCTGCTTAAAGTTCCAAATAGCGAACAGTGAGTTTCTTACCGAAAGTTAAATTCGATATTTTTGTCTAGGGTGGCGGAATTGAACGTTTTACTTGTGTGTGCTGCTGGAGTGAATTTTTCTTGAAATTTTAGTTCCCAGCCGACTAGATTCGGTTTTTTATTCCGAATTGGGAATTTTTAACGGCTGATCTCTGACAGTTTTATGATGGGAGTGAATGAGGAAAAAAATGTACATATTACTCGTAGATTAAGTATCACTCGGAAACGGTAATAATAACAACGAGCAAGCTGTCATCGTACTGTTATTATCAATGCAATTTTAAATACAATTATGAATTTTATTCGTGTATAATTTATATCCATAGTTAGTATGCGCAGAGTTGATTAAAGAAGAGGAGGAGTATACAGAGATATATAAGATGTATGCACATATATCTACACGAAGTGTATATTATATGAAGTTGCTGTAGGAGGAGATCCTAATTTTTTTTCCTATTAATTACGGTCAAACCGACTTGTATATCTTCGTGTAAATATATCGACTTACATAAATTTTTAATGTATGTTAATGTAGTTGGTAAGTCACTGAGCGAGATTGAAAAGAGACAAGCAACAATGCCTTAGCGAATGCAAATGCGTTATAAATGTTTTTCGTAAGCGTATATAGGTATATATAATAGTACATGAAAAAAGAAATACAATTAACGTTTTGCAAATCTGAAAATAATGTACGACTACAACTGTCTCATTGCTTTGTGTTGATTTGTAATATCGTATTATATCGTGACATGTTTAAGAGGATATAAAACGCGATTTTGAAGTAAAGAGAGATATAAACGAAAAATTATAAAGATAAGGGAAAGCACCAGAAAAAAGCAAAAAGTGAAATCACGAAAAGAATGCCAGAATAAATGGTGAAAGTGTATTCTTACGGATTGAGACTGTATTAATCATCGAAACGCGAATATTCATACTTAAGATTTTCGTTATTTTACAATTCGTTGTTTTAAGATTGACGAGGAGGATCATTATTTTTCTATTATATTAAAAGAATTTTCCATTCCTCTCGCCTCATGTCTAATACCCAATTTGTGAAATGTACACCTATTTGTAAATAAATATACGTCGCATACATGTACACATATATACATAGATATTGCATATTGTAATAGATAAATTGATATTCGCCACTGAACGGTGAGTGCTTATGAAAAATGGTTGAAATGAGATATATATATATATATGGGGTGAGTTTTCCTAGACTTCGAATCTGGGAGGAACCCTCGTATGTGTTAGGCGTCCTATTCTTTAATCAAATTACCTCCGCCCTCTGGTTAATGTGAAATTAACACGAAAATTTGAATGACTCTGTAAGCGAGGCATTGATGAGATTTTATAGTCGGTTGTTGACAGAGAACTGAGTGAACTATTTGAATAGAAAATTGTCGTGTGGATCAGTATCCTGACATGTTTATAATATCATATCAAGCACACCTTGTCTGTAGGTGGGGGTAATCTGTTTAAAAAATAATGTCGTTTTATAGATACGGAGGCTCCTATCAGATGAAATATTTACATGAAACATGAGAAAAAGTTTTACATCACGTTCTATACCGTAATTCTATAGTGTATAGGTCATATGGTCGTAATTATACATTCCTATTAGCGACAATTTAACAAAAATAGAGTAGCATCTATTTTTGCACATATTAGCCGGAAGAGGATGACGGTGTTCTAAGTCTATAATTCTAATTCAGAGATAGATAAAACGTGTAGAGATATTGAATAAAGGTTATAACGGATGTTTCGGTTTATTTTTACTGTCATTTCCCTCTTATTGATTTTCATTAGAAATTCTTTTTTCTCTTTGCATAAGGCGGAACTGTTAAATATATATTTGAATTTGAAATAGAATGTTTCCCGCGTTCAAATCTCCCGCCATTTTAATACTGAAAAGCTGCGCGGCTAGGCATACGTAACTCTGAACTGTCTATAATCAGTGCGTAAAGGTTCGGCAAATGGCGATCAGCTGTTCCGTATTCATTCGTTGTCAAACAAAGAGAAACTCGGAGTATATTTTGGGACTGTCAGATTGCCACGGATTACTGGTGAATAACGGCAAACAAAAGTGGAGGATGAATAGTCGAGCATCATCGCCACCGGGAACGACAGAAGGAGTACAAAGAAATTGACAGGTGGAGGAAACGTCTGGACAGAAAGGGAAAGTGGAGATTTTGTAGTGAATATTTTGGATTTTTTCGTACCATTTAGAAAGAAGCTGATAACATTTTTTCAGTTCAGGTAAATTCTAAAGTAAAATTAATACACAGACATCTAGTCACGAATAAACATGTGATGTTTTTCGGAATATTATTTTAAGTTATGTCTTACGATTGACTTTTTGACAATTTATTTATTACTGGAAATAAGTTAATGATTTATTTACCCTGTTATTTAGCTCCATCTGGATACTGCGACTTATTTTTTAACAAGGTTTAACATGGCGGATAATCGACAGCTTGTAGAGGATTCTAAGAGGCAGGAGAGTAATGATAGTTTGTTATCGGAAGAGTGGATGATTATCGATGAGACAGAGGATAATAGCGAAACTAATGAGATGACACGTTTGGAAATTTGCAATTATAAGGATAATGAAGACGATGCCGAAAATATGCAAAATAATGCCGACATGACTTACGAGGTAATAAATATTTTTAATTGCGACGCTTCGAGTTCCTGAAATACCGATTGAGTAATCATTCTAATCCCTGATTCCACCAACATTGTTTAATATTTAAAATCGGTTTAATTGTGCTATTGGCGAATCAGATACTTCTTTTTGAAGATAAACGGAGTTTATACATCGAATCGCATTAAATAAAGCGGGCTGCCCGTTTGCTTCGACGTGGTTTAAACCCAATTCAATTTTTTAATATAGTTTTAAGATAGGTTAACCAGAACTTAAACTTCGATTAATGTCGGAGGAAACGGGCATAAGTGATTGAAATGGGAGCACCCTGGTTCTACACGGATGAACTCTACAAAGTTATTTTTATACGGAAAACTACAAGGCCATGTTCAAACTTTCCGATGAAATTCCTCATTGGACGAATGTTTCACGAGGAAAAATTGTAACCATTGAGGAGTCAGATTTTCGGAGTTTCCAAAACGTATAAATTTAATGCTTATTTTTTCTTTAAAACTGCTGTGGAGTTTTCGTAAAGTCCTAATTGCGTAAATAAATGGAATGAAAATATTTATTTACATTATTACTGAGCCTGATGGTGTTTTAGTTATTAAAATATCGTTATCAAATTATTACAAGTGTTCGTGCATAGTCTTCAGGTCGGTAAAATATAAGTGATGTACAGTTTACCGTGCACAATTCTTTTTATGAAATATTTCGTGCACAGTTATCCGAATATTACGTTTTTTGGAGTAGTTTTTCGTGTAGAGTTATTCCGTCTAGAGGTCCTTCATATAGAACTGATTGTGAGTCCTACTCTATTGAAATAATGCGCAATTGTTTTTTCAGAAACATGATGCGGGTAAAAGCGATTCCGATGATGCTGCGGAGAAACTTATCGATGACTCCGACGAGATATCCATCATTACAGAAAGCACAGAAAGTGATAATGAGCAACTAGTCATTGGCAAAGAAATTAGTAATATTAATAAAATTAATGAGGCCAGTTATGCGTGTACCGATATTCAGAAATTGAACCAAGCAGACGATAAAATAGTATCGCAGGTAAAACCATCTTTCAATATAAATTAAAATTCATATTAATAATTATTAATTGATTAATTAATAGGTCGGTGCTATTTTCAATATCATCATTGCTTGCTCTCTGGCGGCAGTCATTGGTTTGGGCGCTGGACGAATTTTAAGCATCGATGAATGTACTATTTCGAATGACGTTGATTTTGCTAGTGTCAAGATGAAAAATGACATTTTAATTAATCAATTGAAGGAATTAAACGGAGGTACGTGTTTGGTATTTTAAAATCTTACTCTGACACTTAGATTTTTGATCGTTTAATGATTTACAGTGAAAGATGTCTTGGATGAGATAAGATCCAGTATTCCTAAAGTGACTTCGGGAGATCGGACACAGTCCGACTCTTTTTCTGATGATGTAACGAACGGGAACATGAATTCGAAAAATTTCGATAAGAGTGACAGAAAGCAGAAAATTAATGCTGATTCAAAGATCGTAGAACGTTTAAAAAATTCACTAGAAAATCTCTGCTCTGTCATCGATGATATTATAATTGACAATTCGAGACCCTTTACTAAGCAGCTATGTGAAAGTCAAAATGTGGTCAAGGATTTGATGATTTTTGAAAAAATTATAAGTGAAGTGTTGCGCGACTCTAGAGAGGAAACTTCGGAAATAAGGTAACAAATAATTAGTTATAAAATATTTTAAAGAACCATATTTGGTAACTGTTTGTAACTCTCTCTATTTAATTATTTGATTTCTTTTTTACAGGGTTTTGCAAAATGCTGAAAAAAAGATCAGTAATGTTTGTCGATCGTTACTGGTAGATCTATCGAATACTGTACATGGAATAGCTACGAAAACTAATCATAAATTGGAAAAAGTTAGTTTGCAAATGAAAAAAAAGCTTTGTACACTGCAGAAAGAAGCTAATAGCGAGTTTTTAAAAAAATTGCCAAGCAGTAATAATTTTTTTGCAAACTGCGAAAAAACGTTAAACATTACTCATAATTCAGAAAAATCTGCAAAAGTAGTTGACATTACGAAGGGAACATTAAAAAGTTCAGATAACTCTGAATACAATAAAAGGCAAAGAACGTGGAAAAACAAGAACAGGTCTACAAGTAAAAAACCAAAAACAGAGTTTTTAAATACTAAATTTTATTATCGATATGAAGAAGATACTTGTTCCTCGCCTCAGTTTCCCTGGTTCACAACAAATTCGAAAAATGACATTAAATTTGATCAAAAATTAGATACGGAGCACGTTTGTACCTCTAAAACCGGTGACAACGCGAAAAAATTCAATGTAAAGCAGTCCGATAAAATGTCCAAAGGATCCAACACGGCACACGTTAAGAGTTCAAAGAATATGTGGAATAAAAAGATTCGTGATTCAAGAATACTCAAAAAGCACATCGACGAACGTCGAGATTCTAAAATGTCCGATTCTAGCGAAAATGTTCAAGATCATTCGAAAGATACATACGCATCAAAAGTTGTAAATTTGAAGAATAAGATGGATTATGGAGGGCGCGAGATTCATGAACCGCGTTCGAATAAGGAAGAATGTAGTAGTACCGGTAAAGCATGTTTGAAACAAAAAATAAGCAGTAAACAAACTGGTGATAATGTGGACTTGAAAGATTCTAAAAGCCCAAATAGAAATTCGAAACAGAAATTCGTTAAACGCAAAAGAGTTCCAAAAATGGACAAACACCTGACTGAAAACGAATCTCATAACCCGCCAGACAATGTAAACCGGGACATGTATGACGGAGAGTGGCAACTTCAACGGTGAATAAATAAAATTAATTTGAAATTCATACCAAATCAGGATTTATGTAGTATAGTATAGCAGTATATAGTCTCTTTTCAAAAGTTTTATATTAAAATTAATTAATACAAAAAATGTTAATAAGGTGATAATAATATGTCTACAGATCTAAAGCGCGTGAAATATTACGTGATCGTGAAAGAGCTTCAGACTGGTATTTCGATAGAGCCGGATCTCGGAAGGACGCCAGAAAATATGAAGATGAGCCCGAACTCATTAACGATAATCATGATGAGGAGTGGGAAGATTCTTGGATGCATTCAAAAGATGTGAGACACGGTGGTAAACGGGATTCGAGTCATGCATTTTCGTCGAAGAAGACTACGCGGTCCACTTTCAAGACACACAGACAAAATATAATGAAAGAGAGACGTCGATGACTTGTTGAAATTCGGCAAATACCATGAAAACTTTTAATAAAACCATTTTGAAATTTTCTTAATATATGACTTTAGGTATAGTTAAGAGAGTATGAATAATTTCAGAGTGTATGGAATATATTGAAGAAGAAAGCGTGAGAACTATATTGATGCATTTTCAAAAATGCAAAACGTCATTCCGAAATTGCGATTTTACTATTTCCGTATAATAATAAAGACTATTGAATTTTTTAAAATCAATTTGCAGTCGACTTTTCGTACCAGTACGCGATCCCGGTTCCAACTGTGTTCTCTTACGGGGAGTCAACTGTATAATTCTAGTGTTCTATCTTGTTCTCTTTATTACCATGTACTTTAATGTGTTTCATCATATCATGGAGCGTACTTAAATATGTAAAAATACAGTGAATCTTCGATAACTCGAGCTTCTATAAGTCAGTAAACCTCTACAAGATTATGAATCTTCGAATTTTCTAATGAAATATAAATTGAAATTGTATAAATCCCAATAGGCTAAAACTACGATAATTCGAAGCATATTTCGTTTCCCTCGAGATTCGAGTTATCGAAATTCCACTGTATTATCGTTTCACGTGTTTCCTTTGTTTTTTTCCTTCCTCTCAAAATGTTGATCAATCTATTCTAAGACTGGGATATAAAGACATTTGTCAAAATAGTTTAATTAGTTTGTCTTAAAATGGCAAGCAAAAAGAACGAAGAGAAGAAAGAAGAAGATTCGCGGTTTGAGTTTATATTACAATATTTAATTCGTTCTAGTAAGCTCAAAACGGATAAATGGAATAAAATGATGTCCAATGATGATTTAAAGGTATAAACTTGAAACTTTAATAAAATTAAATTTTTCGAGCACAAAATAGCGTTATTTCGAATTTATTTTCTATAACATTTCCATAATATCGATAGGATATCATTTTAAAGTTTTTTAATACCGCATCTGAAATGATACTGGTGATGCAAATGTCATCAGCTGGTGTCCTTTTGCCATATCTCGGCATTCAGTCTGGAAGTAAGATCAAGTCATCATACTTTTTGAAAAGACAACCGAGCAAAGTAACCCAAGAGAATTTTCTTGAAATTTTGATTCCTGGTGACATGGCGCCAAAGCCAATTGATGAACTTGCTGTCCTCGTCGAAGAGGTGCGAACAACGATACTCTACATCGCTACAAAGATTACAGTTTCATAATTTTCCTGAATTTGTCAAACAGGTTTACGTTCCTATTTTATCAAATCCAAAAAATCACACCGGTTGGCCTGCCACCGTGGGTGAAGATGTGAAGAAACATGTTTATGATTTACGTAGCATGATATGTCAGGTGTCAATTTATAAATATTATTATCTTAAATCAATTTTCACAACAAGTAAGCCAATGACTATTTGCAGGTGCGGGGTAAAATGACAGGTCAAACTTTACTGCCGATGCCAATGGGAGCTGAAAGAATTTTCGAGGCCGAGTGGAATGTTCAAAAAACTGCCGGTCAAGAAGTTGACATCACACTAAAAAGTGATATTGAAGGTATAATCATTAAATGGGCTATCCAGATTAATGACATCCTGAACGAAGATAGCAGTGGAATTATTGATGAACATGATCATCCGTTACCCAGTTCAGGTATGTCGTTTTTAATTCAAAATGATATTGCTACTGAAATACGGTCGATTAATCTTATAATAAAAATTGGCCAATCAATGAAATAATGATTAATTACAGAGATTGAATTTTGGCGTCAGAGGCTCAAAAATTTGGAAACCATTTACGAGCAGATGAAGGATCCACGGGTAAAGAAAATGGCATCCTTGCTTGAACTTACCGACAGTCCTTACTTACCGTGTTTCAAGACGCTTTTTAAAAATGTTGTAGCCGGTAGGTATTAATGTATGTAGATTGTTTTGTATAATTCTCGAATTCTAGAACAGCAATTGAAAGCAATTTTCCTATTAGCTGTTATAGAGGCACGCGATGTCTGTCTATATTTGAAACCTCTTCAGCCGTACTTTGATCAAATAGAGAGTTCAGAGTTCACAGAAGTTCGTGAAAAAATTAAATCGCTGTTGCACTCTATTTGTCTGACTTGGGCTAATTCTAGGTATTATTGCACCACCACTAGGATAATAACACTCTTATCCGAAGTGGCCAATCTGATTATACATGTGGTAATGATTTTTAAAAAATGCAAAAAAATTAAAACAAGTTTTTTGATAACTAGTACAAAAATTAATTACAATTTTTTGTCCCATTTAGGCTAGCAAGACACTCGATCCCGGATCGCTTTTTCAAGGCGATATCGATGATAATGCAAAGAGAGTTACGGAGACAATAGAGATAATAGAATATTTTCAAGAATGTTTTGTGAATTTTCGTGAAAAAATTGAAAATTACTTTCGGCCGCCGGCTGAGCCCGTTTTATGGACGTTTCATGAGAAATTAATATTTTCTCGATTACGTAACTTTGAAAAGCGGCTGAAGGAGATAAAGGTATTTAGGCATTTTTTAATATGATTTCGATTTTTCTTAAACATACCACGTGTTCGATAGACTCTCTTCGAAATTGCACAAGAGTACCTCAAGCTGGAGAGAATAGAAATTTCAGGACTGAAAGTAATTCCACACGTTATTTACATTCTTAAACAAATCTTTATTACAAAGTTACTGTTTCGAAGGGAAAAGTTTTGTGCTCAATGGCGTATAATATTTACGAGGAATTCAGTAAATTGTATTCCGAGTTTTCTGGCGTTCAGTACGAAATATTATTACCGGAAGAGGATGGCTTCACTGAAGATTTGTCAAATTTTCTAAAACAGGTATTAACGTAAAAAATAATTATCGACACAAAAAATTAATTATCTGAGTATACAATAGGTAGAAGAATATGACAGGAGATTGGCATCTATATTTGATAATGCATTTTCGGAATGTCACAACACCGATACGTTATTCGAATTAATTTGGATAATGGGAGCGATCGCCCTTAGACCAATTATACTAACACAGCTTTGGCCTAATTATGAAAAATTACTAAGTATGATCCACACGCATTTAGACACTGTTAAGGTATGCTATTATACATCTCCAAGTAGATTTTATTAATTTACCTAATACCTATACCTATTACCTATTACCTAATACCTATTAATTTTAATCCCGTTTCATCCATAATGTATTTTATCCATAAGCTTTTAATCCAATGTCATCTTTATTGCATAACTAGGTCCTGTTCGATGAAAATTTCGAAACTCGTAAAAGAACGGGTCATATGGTGGTCGATCAGTATTTTCCACCAGTGGCTGGTGCATTGTGTTGCATAATGAAATTAATGAACCGTATCGATCGTCCTTTGGAATGCATGCAATTAATTGATCATCCGTTATTGGCCAGTCAGTCGGCACGTGAGATTCAAGCCAAACATGATGAGCTGCAGGTAAATTCAATGATAATTAATTGACCCAAAGTTCTTGACTGATATGATTCATTAATCGTGAAGGTCTTGTTGAATGAAACGGACAAAGAAATATTTGCTGAATGGGCTACGAAGGTTCCTGAAATCTGTACAGTCAATCTTAGTAAAAGTCTACATAATATTATTGAAGATCACCTTCTAGAACAAAATTTTAGTTCTGAGCTGGTAGCTATCCTAAGGGAAACACGGTATATGATTATTATGCAGAGAACTGATTTACCGACGGAAGCTATGGAACTGTTCGATAGAACGCAGTTCTTTTTTGAGAGTACCTTCAAGCTCAATCTAACTATCAATTGGTTAGTTGAGTACGCTTCCCACTTTTAAGCATAAGATCGAGAATAGTTTTTAGTCTTTATTTTCATGTTTTCAGGTATAACAGAATTCGAAAGTTTAGCTCTCCAGTAGAATTTGAATTGATCCGGGAAGAGATTGAACGTATCGATGAACTAATTGATCAGGGTCAAAGGGATTATAATTGGAATTCACCAGGTGTGCTAATCAATTTTGTGCGATCGTTTTATTTAAAATAATACCTTTATTTCGATTTGTAGAAGTAGCGGAATATATCGATAATTTGATGAAAATTATTAAAAAACTCCATGCGAGAGTGTTCAAAGCTCAGGAGAATATTGAACGTGTGATGAAGATGTTGTATTCGTGGGCCATGATTCCTGTTTTGGATCGTAAGGATCTTAAGGACGAACATCTTTTGGCCCTTGGGGAGCGGGAGGAAAGATTCGAAAAGAGATATCGTGAGATATCCGAAACTGCTCAAGAAATTGAGAGAGTTTTGGAAGAGAATTACAAACTCTTTTTTGACTTACTACCTGAAGAAGAGTTCATTAAGGATGAGTATGATGCTGCTGAAGGTATCTAATGTTGTTGTCTCTGTTACTTCTAATGAGGTATACTCATATGATGTTCTTCATACAATAGAGGATGAAGTAAAGGAGAGAATTTCCGAAGTCGGAGGGGAAGATGGTGAAAATGCAGGTGAATTTGATGACGTAGATGAGAAAACACAGGATGCATCTGCTAAAGACGACGAGGTCACAAGTAAAGAAGCCAAAGAGTCGGATGATCAAGAACCGGAAGTAGAGCTGACGCCATCGGAAATCTTAAAAAAAGGTAAGACTGAAGTGGAATATTGAATTTTTGAATCTTTGAACTTAAATGAAACGTCGAAAAGAGGAGGAAGCTGCCATAGAAGCTGAATTAGAAGCACAGCGTCGTATCAGATGGAAGCCATATCTCGTATACGTGGATGGTCTCATATCAAAAGGGTTAATTCAGGCAGCCTCTACCAGGTGCTATAGTAAATGCTCATGATCCGTTAATTAAAAAATTAATTAATTAATTGCTTTCTATCAGTATCTGTTACATCCTCGATGAAACTGATCCTATGAAGTCAATATCGCCGTTGTTCGAAGTTCAGCTGTGCTTGGAAATACCGGATATTGTCTACCGTCCGCCAGTCGAATTGAGCATTCCGGATAATTTTTATACTCTTTTCGAGGGACTGCTATTTGATATGATGAAAATGGGTATTTGGATACCCCGTATAGATCCTGATCTAGCTATCGAGAGAGAACATTATGGGGTAATCATTAAACTGTAGAAAATATTAGAGTAATCATGCTCTACTTAATTATATATAATTTTGAAGATCGATCTTGCCGAGGATGAACATATTGTTTTTATGTTGGAGGAAACTTGCAATCGTGTGAAACTTGCTCTTGTACAGGCGCAGGAATATGCATTAGTAAGATTTTCGTTTATCAATTGTTTATAAATGAATTAAATATTGTTAATTATCATTCAAGGTTTATGAATCTTATTCCTGGCTCTGGCTAGAGGATAGACAACAGTATTTGGATCTGTTTATAAAGTATGCTAGAATGCTCACGGCGGAGGAAAAGGAGCTGGTGGCTCAAGCTCCGGAAAATTTGTCGGACTTTATAAAAGAAAAGAAACCGGAACTGGCCGATTTCAAAAAGCAAATCGATTTTTTCGTTGATCTGTACTCAAAGTGCGATCATATCGAGAATGAAAAAATTCTATTTCGATGGTTTCGTATTGACGTTAAACCATTTAAGCAGGCCTTACTCAATACTATTTGCAAATGGTCTAACTTACTTAAAAACCATTTAGTGAATCACGTCAACACCAGGTATACACTTTATAATTACAAGTAGGTTCAATTAAGATTTTTTGCCGAATAAATTTTTTTCTTTTCAGTTTGCAAAAGCTTGCGGAATTCTTGAGCGCAGCACACAACCGGTTCGTTCAGCCTGTTTTGGAAAACGACTATGATGGCTTGCTTCAAACTATATATTATCTCAAAGAAGTTAGAGACAGACAATACGAAATTGACGACACTTTTGATCCCATTAAGGTACCAACGAAGTCATAATTATGATAAAAATCCGGTGTTCATGATATAATTTAAATTCAGGAAATCATCAATTTGTTGCAACAATATCAAGTAGAGTTCGGCGAAGAAACATTCACTTGGTTAATAGAATTACCAGAACAGTGGACGAATGTTCAAAAATTGGCAGCTCAGGTGAAACAAGTAGTAGCCCCATTGCTGGCACACCAGATAGAATTATTGCGCAAACGAACAAATTTCTTCGACTTCAGACAGCAAAAGTTCTTGACAGTCTTCCATGCCAGTGAGGCGTTCGAGTATGATTCCATCATTTCATATTTAATGTACAGTTGATGAATTAGGAGGTAAAATATTTTTAAATGCTATCCTTGCAGTTATTGCTCAAATGTGTACGATAAGCTTGATAAGCTGAATGTCGAAATAGAGAAGTTAGAAGATGAATTAAAAACACTGACAGAAACTGCGAATATCTACGAGCAGCAAATTCAGGACTTCAAGCAGATAAAACAAGCACGAAGGGAACTCAAGCTGTTGAAACATCTTTGGGATTACGTTAACGTCATTCATACCAACCTGGATGAATGGAAAACGACAGTTTGGAAAAAAATAGACGTGGAAGCTATGGATCAGGAATGTAAAAAATTGACTAGAGAATTGAGACGTGAGTGAATGTCATTAGTTGAACTGCACTTTGACATGATTTTGTAAATAATCATTATTATTGTATTTAATATTATGAAATAGAACTGGATAAGGAGGCCAGATCTTGGGCGTTGTACACTCACACAGAGTCCCAAGTCAGAAACATGATGTCCTCGTTAAGGGCTGTATCAGAGCTTCAAAATCCCGCAATCAGGGACAGACACTGGCAGCAACTTATGGCTGAAACTCAGGTATCTATCTAGCTATTAAATGTTTGATTGCTGAACAGTGCAACGAAAATGCTGAACATTCAATGCTGAACAGTGCAACGAAAATGTTTTCTGTCTGGAGGTACAAATACATTGTAAGCTTTGACTGATACCTTCCACTTCCTGTCGTTATCTTTCAACTGCTTTTTTTTTTTTAGATTTGCATGACAATTTGCATACCATGCTTTTTTAATGTTTGTTGATGAACGAATGAATTTTATTGGCTTTATTTCTTTTCCTCAATTTATGCGTTTAGGTCAGATTTACTATGGATGATAAAACGACTCTGGAAGACTTACTCAAATTACAATTGCACAAATATGAGGAGGAAGTGAAGAATACTGTCGATAAGGCAGTTAAGGAAATGGGCATGGAGAAGACGCTTAAGGAGTTACATAACACTTGGGCTAATCTCGAATTTGATAAGGAGGTGCACGAGAGAACGAAGTTGAATGTACTTAAGATAAGTGAAGAGATTATTGAGATACTAGAAGACAATCAGGTAATTACAAAGTTATTTAATTAGTTTTTGAAATTTGTCAAATTATTTACATCCATTTCAGGTTCAATTACAAAATATGCTTGGTTCAAAATATATTGGTTACTTTCTCGACGAGGTCACGGATTGGCAACAAAAATTGAGTAACGCCGATGCAGTTATCAACGTATGGTTCGAAGTACAGAGAGCTTGGATGCATTTGGAGAGCATCTTTATCGGTTCTGAGGATATTAGAAATCAGTTACCCGAAGACTCAAAGCGTTTTGAAAAAATAGACAGAGACTTCAAGGTGCCACGTTGTTCAGAATATGCTAATGCATAATTTCGAGTCGATTGTATGAAATTTTTTGTTTAGGAACTACTAAAAGAAGTTTTGTCCACTATGAACATAGTAAAGGCTACAAATAAACCAAAATTACAAGAGCGCCTTGAGGATTTGCAAAAGCAACTGAATCTTTGTGAAAAAGCATTATCGAATTATTTGGAAACAAAAAGACTGGCGTATCCAAGATTTTACTTCGTGTCCCCCGCTGATCTTCTCGATATTCTCAGCAACGGTGCAAGAGCTTAAATTTATCTGACATTCATGATTCACGTGCATTTGATAACACTAAGAATGATTTGATTTTTGATTTGAAGGTAACAATCCTGAACTGGTTTGCAGACACTTGGCCAAGTTATACGACTCTGTTGCAAAACTAGTCTGGAAAATGGAAGGTGGGAAGCCGACGAAAATTGCGAACGCGATGATCGCCAAAGATGGCGAATCTATGGCTATGCACGGGACATGTGACTGTAATGGCAAGGTCAGAAACAGAACTTGTCCTCATTAAAAATAACTTCAGGACTGATCTCATCGATCATTTTCATTGTCAAGGTGGAGATATGGCTGAATCGAGTGACAGATGCAATGAGAAGAACCGTTCGTTTCCATTTTGGACAGGCTGTAGTATCTTACGATGAAAAACCACGTGAACTTTGGATATTTGATTATCAAGCACAACCGGCATTGTGCGGTACTCAGATTTGGTGGACAACTGAAGTAAATATGGCTTTCGCCAGATTAGAAGAAGGTTTTGAAAACGCACTTAAGGATTATCAGAAAAAGCAAATCAATCAGCTGAATGCACTGATCACGATACTTTGTGGCGATCTTGACGAAAGCGATCGTCAGAAGATCATGACCATTTGCACAATTGATGTTCACGCTAGGGATGTTGTTGGAAAACTCATATCTACCAAAGCTGAAAGTTCGTCCAGCTTTCAGTGGCAATCTCAACTTAGGCACAGGTTAATGTAGACGACACACTGGTTTACAAACAAAATGTTCATTGAATTCAAATATAACAAGACCTAATTACATTGTAGATGGGATGATAAGTTAAGCGATTGCTTTGCCAATATTTGTGACGCTAGCTTCAGTTACGGTTATGAGTATTTAGGAAATGTACCACGTTTAGTAATCACACCACTGACTGACAGATGTTATATAACATTGACTCAATCACTTCACTTGATCATGGGTGGTGCACCAGCTGGTCCAGCTGGTACTGGTAAGACCGAAACTACTAAAGATCTTGGTAGAGCGCTTGGTCAGATGGTTTATGTGTTCAATTGTTCCGAACAGATGGATTACAAGGTACAGATTTACATTGTCTAAACATAAATTCGTTCATGCTTGGTTATTACAGTTTTTAATTAACAAATTAGTCATGCGGCAACATCTACAAGGGTCTGGCGCAGACTGGTGCTTGGGGATGCTTTGATGAGTTCAATAGGATCTCCGTTGAAGTTCTTTCTGTTGTTGCTGTTCAAGTAAAGTCTGTCTTAGACGGTGTCAAGAATAGAAAGAAGAAGTTTTTGTTCTTTGGAGAAGAATTGAATATTGTCGATACTGTAGGAATGTTTATAACGATGAATCCTGGTTATGCCGGTAGGACTGAACTTCCTGAAAATCTGAAAACGCTATTTAGGTCACTATTTTAGAAGTATAAAGCAGGTCCTTTAAACCATTTATTTAAAAATAATGCTATTCTTCTTCATATTCAGACCTTGTGCTATGGTTGTTCCTGACTTTGAATTGATTTGTGAAATCATGTTGGTCGCTGAAGGATTTCAAGAAGCTCGATTGCTTGCCAGAAAATTTATAACATTATATACACTTTGTCGCGAACTTTTATCTAAGCAAGATCACTATGATTGGGGCTTGAGAGCCATCAAATCAGTTCTGGTAGTGGCTGGAAAGTTAAAACGTGGTGACCGGCATAGAGCCGAAGATCAAGTATTGATGAGAGCTCTTCGCGACTTCAATACACCGAAAATAGTGACTGACGATATACCAGTGTTCATGGGCCTCATTGGTAGGTGATGGACTTCCTTATAATTTCTGAAAGCCGCTGATGAATGAACAATTACATTAAATAGGAGACTTATTTCCTGCCTTGGATGTGCCAAGAAAGAGAGACTTAGATTTTGAAAAGATGATCAGAGGTGCTGCATTAGACTTGAAGATGCAACCTGAAGATGGTTTTGTTCTAAAGGTATGGCAAATTGATCATTAACCTGTCAATAATAGCTTATAACTAATTGGCCTTTCGGTTAGGTCGTTCAACTGGAAGAGCTTTTTAATGTCAGACATTCAGTGTTCATCGTGGGACTTGCAGGGACCGGAAAGACCCAAGTTTGGAAAACACTGAACAGAACGTATTTTAATCAAAAACGTAAACCTATATACAATGATTTGAATCCTAAAGCTGTAACCAACGACGAACTCTTTGGTATTATCAATCCAGCTACCAGAGAATGGAAAGATGGGTAAAAGACAGAGTCTCATATAATGTTATTAATTATTAATCGTATTGAAAAAACGGTACTTAGGTTGTTCTCCGTCCTAATGAGGGATCAGGCTAACATGAGTGGCGATGGCCCCAAATGGATAGTATTCGATGGCGACATAGATCCAATGTGGATAGAATCATTAAACACTGTTATGGATGACAACAAAGTATTGACACTGGCTAGTAACGAAAGAATAGCATTGACCAAGCATATGAGACTCTTGTTCGAAATTTCGAACTTGAGGTTTTACCATGAATTCATTTTTATTTTCGGTTATTATCCATTTTCGCGTAATTCTATTTCGAAATTATTATTTCAGAACAGCCACTCCTGCCACTGTATCTAGAGCAGGTATCCTTTACATCAACCCGCAGGATCTGGGTTGGAATCCGTAATTTCCTGAAATAAATATTTCTTAGCGATTTTCCTTCTGGAAGATTTTTGAATCACGTTCAATTTTTCATGCACAGGTTTGTGGCCAGTTGGATAGAAACAAGAGACAACTCAGAAAGAGCCAACTTAGTTATTCTTTTCGACAAGTATATACCGCCCTTGTTGGAATCGAGTAAGACTAAATTCAAGAAAATAACACCGATACCTGAAATATGCCATCTGGAAATGTTGTGCAATTTGTTAGACTGCTTTTTAACAAAAGAAAACGTGCCACCTGACTGTCCTAAAGAATGGTAACGCCTGAACTGCTTAATAATTAAATTACAATTGGTACTCATATTGTTTTATCGACTCTTTGTATATTGTTTGACCAAGGGTGGAAATATACTTTGCATTTGCATGCATCTGGGCCTTCGGTTCTGCTACATTTCAAGACCAGTTGATTGATTGGCGCAATGAGTTCAGTAAGTGGTGGGTGAACGAATTCAAGGCCATTAAATTTCCAGCGGGTGGAACCATCTTCAGCTACTACATAGAGAACGAAACGAAAAAACTTGTGCCTTGGAGCGAGAAAGTTGGCAAATTCGAATTGGACATGGACATACCCCTTCAGGTGTGAAATAAAAAATGATCAATAATTTAGCTGAAAAACAAAGTGAGATCAAATTGAAGTAATATCATTATTTAGTCGACTTTGGTACCAACTGGTGAAACTGCACGACTTCGTTTCTTCATGGATCTACTGATGCAGCGTAGGGTACCAGTAATGTTAGTTGGTAGCGCAGGTTCTGGAAAGAGTGTCATCGTTGCTGAGAAGTTATCATCATTGTCAGACAATTATAACATAGCAAACGTGCCGTTCAATTTCTATACGACTTCAGGTATATAAACAGTCTAAGGGATTCTCGAACATTTTGGATTTTGCTCATTTTCTTTCCATCGATTAGAAATGCTACAGAGAATCCTAGAGAAGCATTTGGAGAAAAAGGCTGGTCGTAACTTTGGACCACCCGGTACAAAACTTCTTGTATACTTCATCGATGATATGAATATGCCTGAAGTAGATACGTACGGCACTGTCCAGCCGCATACACTTATTAGACAGCATATGGATTACGGTCATTGGTAATAATAATAAGGCATTTTTCAGTATTATTAATAACAACGATTGTTTGAAAATCTGGTACTGTTTTATACTAGGTACGATAGAGTTAAGCTGACCCTGAAGGACATTCATAATACGCAGTATGTGTCCTCCATGAATCCTACTGCTGGCAGTTTTACTATAGATCCACGTTTACAAAGACACTTTGCAGTTTTTGCAGTAAGGTGCGATTACTTCATTAAGACTAATAGATTTTTACTTATCCGGTTGTAATAATCAATTATTTCAACTACTCGTTAATTTAATTTTATTCATTAATAATTTTCAGCTTCCCTAGTCAGGATGCTCTACAGACAATTTATAGTCAAATGTTGTCGCAACATTTTGCAAATCCACAACAAAAGATTGGAATAGCAGTTCAAAAAATGACAGAATTTATTATAGCAGGGGCCTTATATCTTCATGAAAAAGTTACCGCCAGTTTTCTACCAACTGCTATCAAATTTCATTATACATTTAATCTGCGCGACTTGTCCAATATATTTCAAGTATGTTATAATTAATTTATTATGTTGTAGATATTATATTTCTGATAAGCGGTAATTGAATTCTTTACAATTCCAGGGTTGTCTATTTGCCAATGGGGAGACTATACCACTGCCAATGTCAGCAATCCGATTATACGCTCACGAGGCAACACGAGTTTATTGCGATAAATTAGTAAATTACGAAGACAAAAAAATGTTCGATCAATTACTTCGAGAGGCACTCAGAAAGAATATACCAGTAACTATCATAATTTTGATATGATATATCTTATTTAATTACACGTATACAATCATTTATATTGTGCACAGGAACTGGATGAATCAATAGTCTTTGCGGAGCCTCTCATTTACTGTCATTTTGCCGAGGGAATTGGAGAACCAAAATATATGCCAATTAGAGAATGGCCCCAATTGACAAAATTATTGGACGATGCATTATCCAATTATAACGAACTGGTTAGATTATTGATAAAATTTTTATTTTTTAGTGATAAAAAACCTTCGTTTTTTCTAATTAGGTTTCCGCCATGAATCTTGTTATGTTCGATGATGCCATGTACGACGTGTGTCGAATAAACAGAATCTTAGAAGCACCGAGAGGAAATGCACTTCTCGTAGGCGTTGGTGGAAGTGGAAAACAATCGTTGTCTCGTTTAGCATCATTTATATCATCATTAGAAGTAACATAATTAGTTCTAAAATTATTATGATCAATAACAATTACGAAGAGTGCTAATGACTCGGTATGATGCTTTGAAAAGGTATTTCAGGTTCAACTCAAAAAAGGTTATGGACTTAATGATCTTAGGGCAGACTTGGCTCAACTGTACCTTAAAGCCGGTCTCAAAAGTATGGGAATCACTTTCCTGATGACAGATTCTCAAGTTGCACAGGAAAAGTTCCTGGTTGTAGTCAATGATATGCTAGCATCTGGTGAGATTTCTGAATTGTTTTCTGACGACGAGATGGACAACGTTATTAATGGAATTAGAAATGAGGTCAGCTGGATTCACTTTATTCACACTCCTTTTCAAAGCTATTCGCAGCTAACAATAAGTTAATAGAGATTATCATGTTCTACATACAATCAAAATACGATACAAAGTTTGTCGTGGTCATGAATTCTACTTCTTATTAGTTAAACGTGACTATATAAGCGTGATGCGTATATGTGTGCCTTGATTATTTTATTAGTCTTATAATTGTTTAATACTAGTGAAATTTTATCGACAGGTTAAACAAGCTGGAATTATTGATACGAAAGAGAATTGTTGGAAATTCTTCATTGATCGTGTGAGGAAGCAACTGAAATGCATATTGTGTTTCTCGCCAGTTGGTGCTACCTTAAGAAAAAGAGCTAGACAATTTCCAGCTTTGGTAAATTGCACTTCAATTAATTGGTTTCAAGATTGGCCGCAAAAAGCACTGGAATCAGTATCAGCTAGATTTCTCGAAGTGGGTATAAAATTAAATACGAAAATTTCATGAATTGTATAATGTATTTATAATTTTGTAGGAGCTTGAGGAACTACCGACTGAACTTCGAACATCCGTTTCCCTCTTCATGTCTTTTGTGCACATGAGCGTGAACGAAGCTTCGAAAATCTATTTGCAAAATGAAAAGAGATATAATTACACTACACCGAAGTCATTTTTGGAACAAATTGCCTTGTATTCTAAGCTTTTGGCCGAAAAGACATATGATTTGAAAGCAATGATTATTAGATTAGCAAATGGTCTGACTAAACTAGCCAGTTGTGCTGGGCAGGTACCGGATATAAACCTGAATCAAAGTTTTCAACTATGTTCACTGTTCATGTTCGTTTAGGTCGACGAACTGAAAGCCGTTCTAGCTGTTCAGGAAGTAGACCTCAAACGAAAGAATGAAATCGCCGATAAGATCCTAGCTGAAGTCCGAGCTGAGAATACGAAAGCCGAAGTAGAGAAGTCCATAGGTGCGTAATTAAAAAAATATAGGGCTAATTCAGTTTTTAAACATTTATATAGTGCAATGAGAATCATTGATTATTTAGCATCCGAGGAGGAAGCCAAAGTGGCTGAAATTAAAGAGAGGGTCTCGGAGAGACAAAAAAGATGCGATGAAGACTTGGCGAGAGCAGAACCAGCAGTTAGACAAGCAGAAGCTGCTTTGGATACCTTGAATAAAGTAACGTACATCATTAGGAATGACTAATGAGCAATGAGGAATATTATTTTCGTTATTACTTGAATGTATCTTTTTAATTATTTTTTAGAACAATCTAACTGAATTGAAGTCATTTGGTACGCCACCTGATGCAGTAGCGAACGTAGCCCAGGCAGTTTTGGTATTATTTTCACCGAAAGGAAAAGTACCACGTGATCGTAGTTGGAAAGCTTGTAAAGTAATGATGGGAGCCGTAGATACGTTTCTATCACAATTGCGAAATTACGACAAAGAGAATATCCATCCTGACGTTGTGAAGGCTATTCAACCTTATATTAACGACAAAGGTTTGTTCTCTTGAATGCTGCATGTTCATCAACGGTCAAGGTTTCAAATTCTATTTTTATCTTTACAACAGACTTTGAACCTGATTTCATCTATTCCAAGTCACAGGCTGCAGCTGGTCTCTGCAGCTGGGTCAAGAATATCATGGTCTTTCATTATATAAATGAGAACGTAAAGCCTCTAAGAGCTGCTTTAGCACAAGCCAATGCTGAACTCAAAGCTGCAATGGATAAATTGAATGCACTGCGAGTTCGTTTGGCTGTAAGAATATTCATTCTATTAATATTTCCTTATCATATACAATATCAATGATCTTTTTGAGTCAAGTAAAAAAAAAGTATCCTTAGTTGGCCTTCTTTGATTTTGTAGGAACTGCAAAAAATGCTTGACATTTTGAGTGAGAAAATGAATGTGGCTTTAGCAGAGAAACAAAAATGCCAGGACGAGGCTGATAATACTGCGATGATAATTGACTTGGCTAATAGATTGGTGAATGGTCTTGCTTCAGAGAAAATACGTTGGGCAGAAACTGTACAAGTGTAGGTAGAATTGATAGGATCTCTGCAATTTAATCTAATATGGATGATCTAAGGTTATTAATAAATTTATTATTCCGTGCGAGCAGGTTACAGAATTCAGGGGTTACTATACCGGGTGATGTACTTCTTGTGACAGCCTTTATATCATATGTGGGATGCTTCACGAGAAAATACAGAATGGATTTGATTAATTTGCATTGGTTACCATTTTTGGCAAGTTTGCAAATTCCCATACCGCAAACACCTAATTTGGATCCACTATCGTTGTTGACTGACGATGCACAGATTGCTCAATGGAACAACGAAGGCAACGTATTAATAATGTTTAGATTTATTTGACGATTGAGTTATTTTTAACTGTTTAACGAATAATTAGGACTACCAACCGATAGAATGTCATCCGAGAATGCCACGATTCTAACTAATTCTGCAAGATGGCCACTTATGATTGATCCACAGCTTCAGGGTCTAAAATGGATCAAAAACAAATACGGTGACGAATTAAAAATTCTCAGACTCACCCAAAGAAATTACTTGGATATGATTGAATTTGCCATATCAAATGGCCAAGTGGTGTTATTAGAAAATATTATGGAATCGGTTGATGCTGTTTTGGATCCCATTCTTGGAAGAGTTTTAGTAAAGAAAGGCAGGCAAGTTAAATCTGAAAATACTCAAAATATCCATGTATCTCATACTCTGATTAAAAACATTATCGATCCAGGGCCATCAAAATTGGAGACAAGGAAATTGATTATAATCCCCAGTTCCGGTTGATTCTACAAACAAAATTAGCAAATCCTCATTACAAACCAGAAATGCAGGCTCAGACTACACTGATCAACTTCACCGTTACTAAAGATGGTTTAGAAGAGCAGCTACTCGGCGAAGTAGTAAAAGCTGAGCGTCCTGACTTGGAATCCACTAAAGCAGAATTGACTAAGCAACAAAATACTTTTAAGATAACGTTGAAGACACTTGAGGACGATCTACTTCACAGGTATTAATAATTAAGAACAGTTAATAATAAAAAAAAAACAATCTGAAGAATATGAATATATGTATGCGAATATTTTTCATACATTAAGATTGTCCTCTGCTGGCCCAAATATTTTAAGCGACGTGGCTTTGGTGGTGAACTTAGAAACAACCAAGAAAACAGCAGCTGAAATTGAGATAAAAGTAGCTGAAGCTAAAGTGACATCAGTTAAGATAGACGAGGCCAGGGAATGGTATAGGCCAGCAGCATCCAGAGCCAGTATCTTGTATTTCATCTTGAATGATCTCAACAAGATAAATATGTTGTATCAATTTTCATTGAAGGCATTCAGTGTGGTTTTTCAAAATGCCATCAAATTTGCCGAATATTCAGATAACTTATCTAAACGCGTATTACTATTAATAGACAGTATAACTTATATGGTCTTCCTGTACACTAGTAGAGGTCTCTTTGAAAGTGATAAGCTGATATTCCTTTGCCAAATGATAGTACAGGTGGGTTATAAAGGAATAATAATATGTCATATACTTCATGGTATATTAAATGACAATTTTCTTATTAGATACTGCTTCAAACTAAAGAAATCTCTGAACCTGAACTGGATTTCTTATTGAGATTTCCGTACACACCAAATCTGACAAGTCCTGTGGAGTTTCTTAATAATACTAGCTGGGGTGGTATCAAGTTTCTCAGTGGCATGGAAGACTTTAGGAATCTTGATCGTGATATCGAGGGCGCTGCTAAAAGATGGAAGAAATTTATAGAATCGGAAACACCGGAACGTGAGAAATTTCCACAGGAATGGAAGAATAAAAGTGCACTTCAAAGACTCTGCATGATGCGTTGTCTACGATTGGATCGAATGACTTATGCAGTGCGGTAAATCAGTGAAAATATTATCGATTCACGAAAGCCGTTTTCTAACAGACAATTCTTTTATAACCTATAATTAATCTTAGATGTTTTGTGGAAGAAAAACTAGGTCCAAAGTTCATCGAATCTAGATCACCCCCATTTGAAAAATCTTACGAGGAGACCAGCGCAATAACACCTGTCTTTTTTATATTATCACCTGGAGTAGATCCTCTTAAGGTAGACATCAAAACAATATTTGAATTTAAGTAATGTTAGAATTATTAGTAATAGTTCCTCTGTATGTAGGATGTTGAAAAGCTGGGTAAACGTCTAGGCTTCACGTTCGACGGTCGAAACTTTCACAATGTGTCGCTTGGTCAAGGTCAGGAACCGGTTGCTGAAGAAGCTATGGATGTGGCAGCTGCCAATGGTCATTGGGTGATACTTCAGAACGTGCATTTGGTAAAAAATTGGTTACCAAATTTAGAAAAAAAAATGGAGCAACTATCAGATGATCCTCATCCAAGTTATCGTCTATACATCAGCGCTGAACCTAATCCAGATCCTCATGAATCTATAGTACCTCAAGTGAGTTCAAAATATTAAATATTCTGCATAAAATGTAAATAATCATTTTCAATAGACGTTTCAGTATATAAAGTATCAAAAATTGTTCTAGGGTATATTGGAATCTGCGATCAAAATCACAAACGAACCACCGACAGGGATGCATGCTAATATTCACAAAGCTTTAGATAATTTCAACCAAGAAACTTTGGACTCTTGTACAAAAGAGTCAGAGTTCAAGGCAATACTTTTTGCGCTTTGTTATTATCATGCAGTTGTCGCTGAACGCAGGAAGTTTGGACCTCAAGGATGGAATAGGGTAATGGACTGGTCAATTGAGTTAAAGAGACTAAAATTGAATTTCTTCTTTCTTTCCTTTTTATTTTAAAGTCTTATCCCTTCAATGTGGGGGATTTGACCATCAGCGTGTCGGTGCTACTAAATTATTTAGAAAATAATACTAAAGTACCCTGGGAAGATTTGCGATATTTGTTTGGCGAGATTATGTATGGTGGACATATTACTGACGATTGGGACAGAAGATTATGCAGGACTTATCTATTGGAGTATCTTCAGCCAGAACTAGTAGATGGAGATTTGTTCTTAGCTCCTGGATTTTTAGCACCACCAAACAGTGACTATCCAAGTTATCATCAATACCTGGATGATTTTTTACCACCCGAAAGTCCAATTCTCTATGGACTTCATTCAAACGCTGAAATAGGTGGGTACAGATGTCGTAGATCTAATCAATATTCTCATGAACATATATGTTTGCAAAGAACATGAATATTTATAAATTCCAGGTTTCCTAACTGTCACTTCTGAGAATCTATTTAAAACTGTTTTGGAAATGCAACCAAGGGATACTGGCGAATCGACTGGAGCTGGCATGTCCCGCGAAGAAAAAGTTAGGGGTTTGATTGAGGATCTGCTAGACAAACTTCCTGAAGAGTTCAATATTGCTGAACTCATGGCCAAAGTAATTATATGGAGTAACATTGATATTATGTTTTATATTGATATTCTTCTAGGTAGAGGACAGAACGCCATTTATCATTGTAGCCTTTCAAGAGTGCGAAAGAATGAATATACTGTGCGGTGAGCTCAAGAGGTCGCTTCGCGAATTAGAACTTGGTTTGAAAGTTAGAAATATAGTTATTTCGCATTTATAATATGTATACATTTTAACAAATCACTCTGCTTAATATTTTACAATATTTAGGGTGAATTGACAATTAATGCTGATATGGAAGATTTGCAAAATTTTTTATACATGGACTCAGTTCCACCATCTTGGACAAAAAGGGCATATCCGTCAAGTCTTGGATTAACAAATTGGTTTGCTGACATGATGAATAGGGTGGCTGAGTTATCTAACTGGACAGCTGATTTTAATGTACGGCATTTGATACCTAATTTTTTATCCAGATGATAGTATTGATTTTTAATTATGCATACTAATTGCATTTTACAGCTACCATCATCAGTCTGGCTAGCAGGATTTTTTAATCCTCAGTCATTCCTAACTGCCATAATGCAACAGACAGCAAGGAAAAACGAGTGGCCCTTAGATAAGATGTGTTTACATTGTGACGTCACTAAGAAACAAAAGGAAGAATTTACGTAAGATTTTTGATCGTTTCTGGCTCATTAACTTTGAATTTATGTCGTGATCTCATACGTAACCTTATGTGTTTTAGAGCGCCTCCAAGAGAAGGTGCATATGTTAATAGTCTTTATATGGAAGGAGCCAGGTGGGATATGGCACTGGGAGCAATTAGTGAATCCAAACTGAAGGAATTATTCCCACAAATGCCGGTCATTTATATTAAGGCTATTACACAGGATAAACAGGAACTGAAAAATGTGTATGAGTGTCCCGTTTATAAAACGAGGGGTCGCGGACCGACTTATGTTTGGACATTTAATCTTAAGAGCAGAGACAAGCCTACCAAGTGGACCTTAGCTGGGGTTGCTATTCTGCTTCAGATATAATGATTAAAATATCGCACATGTTTTAGATATACAAATAAGATCGTATGATGAATAATGAAATTAATAATAACAGAAGAACAAAGAAAATGTAAAAATGTACAAGTGAACGTAGGAATAAATCAAATTTATCGAGTGTAAATTAAAAATAAAAGACTGACTATCTCATTGGATCAGTCAAAGTGTAGTAGCATCATCGATAAAATGATTTATTTCCAAGTCATTTATGTTTGTTGGATCATCATTTACTCCACTGGTGTTTCATCGTTAGATAGACGTCAATTTATATCGCAAACAGCTTCTTCAAATTTACTTCGTTATAAAAACTTAGAGGAAGACATGCATGATCAAGGCATTTGGGAATCAGCTGCGAGAAGAAAAATCAATGGCAACTCTTGCAAAAATTCGGGAACGCTGTTGTACAATAACATTGCAAATCGCTACAAATGTGTTTGTGAGCCAGGATACGAGGGTGCTAACTGTCAATTGAGGAGTCATATTTGCAAAGAAGAGAACACAACCTGTCTGAAGTACAACAAGAATTTTGATGACTGCGTACCAATTCAAGGAAATGGTTTTGCCTGTTATTATAAAAATGATCGAAAACGTTGGTGCAATTTCAAAAATGAAAATAGCTGTCCTCCTGCTTGGACATGTCTAGATAATTTAATTGGTCTGAAAAGAGGGTACAGATGTTTGCCTCCAGGTCAATTGAAGTCATTAACGAAGTCAGAGATGTTAAATAATCTGTGGATTCCGCAATGTCAAAATGGTGGTCGCTTGAATGAATGCGGTATTTGTGTCTGTTTAGAAAGTTTCATGGGTATGTACTATTAGTTATTATAGTAAATACTTGTAATGCAAGAAATCATTATAATCATCAGGTCCTCATTGTGAGTTTATCAATCGCTGTAAAAACGACCCTTGTTCGGACGGAAGTACTTGCCATTCATTTCCGGGTGGTTACGTATGTACTTGTCCCGATCATCGTACAGGAATTGATTGCAAAATCATTAAAAGGCGAATTATATCTACTATGAAAGAAATTCGACTGTTTCATCATCCTGAACAGTATATTTTAATTCCATCAACTTTCTTGTATTTGGTTCATAATCCTGGATATTTGCCAAAAATTTCCATTGATTTTTCGGACAGTAAGTGATCATTTTCCGGAATCATTGAATTCTCTACCATTAATGAAGGACATTGATAAGACAATGTTACCTTTTAATATGTAGGACAAGTAATAGAAATGACTCAAGAGGATTTTTACAGGATTGAGAACATCAATGATCAGTTAATAAATCTAAAATTTCAACCAATTGAAAACAATGACTTTGTTGCATATGCAATCAATTTCACTCATACCTACAGTAACGAAGGAATTTATAATATGTCATTCAGGGCCTGGAGCAATAATTTACTCATCTTCAATTCAGTATTTCCAATTCGTGTATCCGATCCAGCCAATTGCACCTTTCAATTAAATTTGAAAAACTCTGCTCAGACTCCTGACAAAGCTACACTTTATCATCGTAGAGACAGTATCGATATTTATGCTTCGACCAGAGTATCTTGCCCTGAAACTAGTCTCAATTATCATTGGGAATTATTTTCCGTTCCAAGTATTTTCTCAGCACCTGCAACGGAATTCAAAAGGTATATAGATGGAAGCGATAATTAAAAAAATTATTTTAACTAATTGGCTAATCCAATTGCCATTTAGGACTCCACAGAATATTAGCGTTCACAATGCTGAATATCATGCTTCGCCATATACGTTAACTCACGGAAACTACGTCCTCGTTTTGTCAGTAAACATGGTACAACCTATAAGTGGAGGATTGATTAATGCTACAACCTGGTTTCAAATTGTTAAAGACAAAATAGTTGCTCACGTATCAGGAGGTAATGATTATTTAATCTATGAGGGCGGTTATTTATTATGATGATCATTCTTCTACTCTTAGGTAGTTTCTGGAATGTTCACGAAACCGAACCTTTTGAGATTAGCGCTTTTGAATCCTATCACCCTGATTTACCTAGAGAGACCCAATTGAATTTTTCTTGGTTTTGTTCAGTAAAAAAGGTCGAGCATATTGCAACAGATTTTTGTGGGATAAATGACTTTAAGATGATATCAACGAAACCGGTTATACATATTCAGGATCATGTACTTACACTTGGGGTCATTTATGATTTCATGGTTAAAGTGGAATCGGATACCGCTGAAAGTTCAATGCAGAATGTAAAGATTCAAGTAAGGAATTTAGTGACTGGTTACTCACGTTCGTCTTCAATAGTTTAAAACTTTACGATGTAATGACGTTGAGAAGAGCTTTTAAGGTCGCCTATTTTTATGAAATAAAATACGTTCAAGAATCGTGTTAAGAAACTTATTGTGAACCTAAAATTATAGGTGGTTCCACAAGATGTTCAACTAATTCGCATAAATTGCATTCAAAACTGCAAGGGAAACATGGTGGCAATTAATCGTCCATTAATTTTGCAAGCATTGCCTAAAATAAAATCTAAGGATGTTGAACTAAAATGGGATTGCATACGTGACGATCAGCCTAATCTATCAATTTTAAGAACTGACGATTTCGTAGTGGACGATGACATGTTCATCGTAAAGGCTAGAGTGTTCCGGGAAAGTCATCGTTATAAAGTAAAAATAAACTTTTACTGAATTTCAATCATTTCGAAGATTCTACTAAAGAAATAATTCTATCCCAGATCACGGTCACTGCAGGGCATACAAATGACACCAAAAAGGATGGAATTGCAACTTTGAGTTTTCTAACAGTTCCGAAATTCGTAGTTGGTACTTGTACAATCTTTCCAGAACAGGGATTCGCTCTTTTTACACAGTTTGCTATAATGTGTAACAATTTCTTATCACAAAATGCACCAATTGTCTATGAAGCTTTTCAATACATGTTACCAAGCCAGGAACCATTATTGATTAGTTTTAATGTAAGTTGTTGAGAAATACTAATGACCACGATGATAACTTTGTAATTATGTCAATAATTTTTTTCTAAGGTTTTTCCAGAATTTTCGAATATTACCTTAGCAACTGGTTTGCCAGAAATGGAATACATTACTAGAGTTGTTATTTATGCTACTGATAGCACTGGTTTAATGGAATCGTATGTAATTAACGTAACTGTTTATCCTACAGCAGCTTATTTAGGAGTAATTAGTGAGATAAAACTCATTAAAACTTTGATAACCTCTATGACTTCTATGACGACTAGGCATATCGTCGAGGCAGATGTTCATGCTGTGATAAGCGTAAATATTATATCTTTTTCGTATAACATTACTTTAAGTCCTTAATTAATTTATCCTTAATTATGACTCTCAATAGAATGCATGGACGATTCTACGTGCCATCAGCACGATGGTCCAAAGACCGTTGAACGATGATGACGAAATCTTTATTAATTACCACAAATATGTTTTCGTACGTTTATTTTGTATTCATAGATTCGTCCGTATAAAGCATACTTTTACAGTTTTACTTTTTTTGAAAATAATTATATGTTTTTTGTCTTTATACAGGTGGAATATCTTTCTCGTTGTAAATACTTAAATTCAATTTCGATGAAGTATGCAATATCGGCACTGAAATTACTGATCGAAATACGAAAAAAGCACAATTATCAGCGAAATAATGATAAAGTTCAATTGATTTTGAATGAGATTTTGAATGATCCACTACTTCATAACGTATCCAGAACCGATTTGATTGATATTGGTGTCAGTATTCTTAGCACATCGCATTCACTGATCGAGAAATCACTTGCTGAGGACTCATTCTCGAGTCATCAAGCATATATAAATAATCTACGAAAATATTCAAATTTATTAAGTCATTCAATCGTACCTCACGAAAGTATCGAGGTGACAAATTTCGATGAGAATCTATCGCTCCTATTGCGTAGAAGTTCCCCAGACATGTGGTGGATCGGACGAAATCATCAAATCATTGCAAACGTCTCGGTGTCTAATAGATTCCAATGGCTCAATGAATTTTTGGATCTGGAGGCAATAATCTTTACTGCTGATCCTTCTCGACGAACGCTTGGCAAATCAGAAGAATTTAAGTTCCCAGTGGTAGGCTTGACGTTTATACAAGAAAATCATTTACCGTGCGCTACAAAGTTAAATGTATTTACTAGGCAACCATTAATACTTACACATCCATCAAAGACAATAGGATTTCGGCCAATGCAATTGCCATTGCTAACTTTAAATTTTCCCTGGAGTCAATGAATCATCAAACGATAAAAAGTAACATTTTCTACCACTACAATTACGGTTGTTAAAAGCAGTATTTATAAAAATGACTATCTTCATCATTTTGGCAAATAGGTTCCGTGCGTGTGAAGCCATCGTGGGGTTACACTAATGATGATATATCACTAACGAGATTAGAAGTACAACCAAGCGGCAGATTAGTGATAATATTTGATGATCAAAATGATGACGTGATACTTCGCGTTATTGTCACAAAATCGTATGCACCTGTGATAAACGATTTTTTTGAATCTGAGACCATACCCAGATATCGGGAACTGAATTTGACGACAATGAAAAAGTGGACTATACATAGAGATATCGATGATGGTGACAACAATGACGAAGAAGAAGATGCTGAAAATAAAACGAATGCACCAGTATTCTTTTACATTGGAGTTTTACCTCATCAAGTAATCGAATGGACATTAATGTTGTTTCTAGGAAAATGAAAACGTTTGAATTATGTTCACTGTGCGCAGGTCACACTGAGGTCACTCATGCCCAATTTAGATCCATCGATTCCTGATGATTTTCTTGAGGAAAAATCATCAAAAATAGAACGTTATCGCAGAAACATTACATACGTTTTTCGTGTATTCACGGTACATTGTTGGCGCTGGAACGAAACGATGACCAAATGGTTACCACACTGTAAAATCATGGATGACTTTACTGACAATTCAATGACCTGTCATTGTAAAGGATTGAGTACAATCACAGCGACTTACAGACAAGTCGTTAATACGACTTATTCGCATAGTGAAATTTCTATGTTCGTACAATTCGTCGAGAACGAAATCATCACATGGTACATTACATACAATGCTCGGATCTTAAGATTAATGTCAAGTAGTTAGAAAAGTGGATTACTTTTTTTCAAAATGATTTTCAGGTTCATAGCTTATTTGCTATTCTGCTTTTTGGTATTGTACCTTTGGGCTAGTAAATGGGATCATTGGGATAAGAGTCAGAGAAAAGTTATCATGCTACCGGATAATGATGAGTCTCATTCATACTCATATATATTAAAATTATATACTGGAAAGAATGAGGATGCCGCTACGAGTTCGAAAGTACATTAGTATATTATGATTAAGAATCATCAACGTCCTTTTTTTCTTCTCATTTTGATCATAACAGGTTGCAGTTAGTCTGGAAGGTTCACTTGGTAATAGCAATGTCCATGTGCTGGAATCATTATCGAGACCAGTGACGACGTGTGGTGGCATGGATTATTTTGTCATAAAAACAGACTCGTCATTAGGAGACGTTTATCGTTTGAATGTATGGCATAATCATAGGGGTCCCAGACCTATATGGTGATTATTAATTGGACGAAATAAAATTTTTTAAATTACCAAAAATGACTTTTTCATGTTTCAGGTACGTTGATAAAATCATTATCCATGATGCACAAACCCACGTCGTTAGTTTCTTTTTGATAAAATCATGGTTGTCTCCGCTTCATGGCGACGGTATAAATAATTTTTGTTTATTACTTCATGCAGCAATATTAACTTTATGAATCGTCAATGTCGAGTAACTCATGATTTTTAATTATGCAGGGTCTATAGGATTTACCTGTTATAGACTGATGAATTTTGAAAATTTTCCTTGGCGTATGCGTTACTCAAATGCCATGAATGGAATTACGTGTGCTGGTCATCATATGCTGTTCGGAGTTTTTACGAGGTAAATAAATAATCCATAAAATTCAATGAAAACAAAATTAGTATCATTTCAATTAGTATTAAGTGATACAATTAATTAATTGACATTCCGGTAATTCATTAGGCATGCCGTTCAATGTAATTCACGAAGAAAACGAGTGATATCGACTGTAACATATTGTTTAATCATTACGGCGTGCATAACTGAGTTTTATCCAAAATTCAGAAATGGCAACAATGAAATGGATTCTGTGAGCGAATTAAAATTGGAGAGCGTTGAAATTGTCATCAGTATTCTAGCCTCATTAATTTCATTTCCGATAGGCTGTGCCATACTTTGGATTTTTCGAAATATAGCACCCGTACAATCCTACGCCAGTGATTATACGTCTAGGTAATTGATAATTACAACAGAAGTTACTTATAAAAAGTTCGGGAATAAATTCCTTATAACGTTCATAGGTACGTACAAGAAATAGTAATACCAAAGCCAATGAAATTAGATGATCTGGAGAGGAATGATCTGATTGGTCAGTTCAGTAGCAATCAGCAATTAGTCGTGAATAGAATGTATATGAATATCGATAATCCTGTAATTCAAAATCACGTTCTACCCTTGAGTCATTTGAATGATACCGAATCTAAAGAACTATACGAAAAGGTACGTAATTAAATTTTTAATGATTTTTGTAGATGTATCTTTAACTATCAAATTCACCTCAAAAAAAAATTAGTTTGACCTACAACTATTACCTAATAATTCTTACTACCTGCATCAGATGATCTCAAAGACGCGACCTATACATGGAATTCAAAGAGTGCGATTGGCTTACCTATTCCCTCATACATTTCTCTATCCAGTCTGCGCCTTATATTTAATTATTTCAATAATCTCGTTATATTTCACACTGACTCGAGGATCACGGTATTCATGGAACACAGCACGGCAATATCTCATCTCATGTTGGATATCACTTTTATTTAGTTTTCTAGTTTTGGAGTCACTGAAGGTAAAGTTACTAAAAGTTACTTATTAATGATTGAAATAAATAATAATCAATAGGTAATGATAATTGCATTATGGCAAATATCAAGAGACAATTATCTATATGCGTTCGAGGATAGAAGCTACATAGTGATTTACGTAACACGCGAATTAATCGCGATGATGCAAACTAGACAAAGAAGACTTTCTGAAATTAGATCATCGTCAATTTACAAGCCAATACCTCGAGAGAGAGTCGATGATCTAAAACGTGGATTTATTAAAAATTTCATTGTAAAAGTATGGTGCAATTCATGATTTAGAGTGTTTAAGATATATTTGTAAATTTTGTATATTTTAGGTTTTCCAGACTGAGGTAATAGCTACCATAGTATTTTTGATATGTCTGATTATCATCCAAGCAAATGTTTATAATCGTAGGAGTTATTATCATTATAGGAATCTTGACTTACTCATAAATGGTCATTCCAATTACAGTCAAATGTCATTGGTTAAAGTAAACTATATGGAAGATTTTATTTCTTATTTAGAAACGACTGTCTTACAAAGTATTTATCATGAAAGTGATGCTTCCGGTGGAATTGTTATTACTAACGATGGCGTTAATCATCTCGTTGGTAGCTCCAGAATTAGACAGGTATGTACATCTGGATTATAGTTTTGACAAATAATTTTTGCTATTGATTCGTAACATCTATTTTCTGACAGATCAGAATACATCCAGAATCGTGTTTAAAAGATCCGCTTAAAGATTTGCATGCGGATTGCAAATATGCGAATATTTACTATGATATGGATAAAAGAAACTTCTCCGAATCATGGAAAGAGGAGATCAGTAAACCTGGACCCTTGGCTCGTGAACAAATTTGGTCTTATCAGGATATAAATAGTGATGAATATTTTGCGATAGGTAAAAATGAGTTATTGCAAAGCCTTAAAAGTAATTCGCACTATGTACTCAATTGAATAATTATTATCAAATAGGAAATGAATCCAGCTATCCAAGAGGTGGTTATATGGTATTACTGGGACGTGATGAAAGTACAGCTTTAACCGAATTTAATTATCTCAAAGAATCAAAGTGGGTCGATAAGTTCACCAGAGCAGTTATCTTTGAGACTTCACTTTTTAACCCAAACACCAAAGTAGCAAGTACCATTAGGATTCTGGGTGAAAAGTGCTACAATGGTGGTTTTGTAGCTAAGCAAAATATTTATTTTGCAAAGGTGCGAGTTTAGGGAAGCAAATTATAAATACACTCAAAATTACACAAAGGAAGAATTTAAATGAATTTACGACAAAACTGTTCTGATTTATCTTATTTAGGTGAGATCAATCAACGATCAGAAGGAGGTGATCCTGATCTTAATGATGATCATACTTTTTCTATCAATGTTCCTTTATGTACAAAAAAAACAAACGGAGTACGCTAAATCATCATGGAGACACATTTCCCATATATGGAATTTATTGTGGATATTATTTATTATTACTGGCATTGTCGTCATCTTAACATACATTTTTCGTATGAGTAAAGTCAGTTATCGAAATTATTTTTGCGATGTTTTATATGCAACTATAATTGTAACAATCGATTAATTCATATTGATTAAAACTTCATGATTTAGGTAATAAAATCAATAGAGAAACTAAAAAATTCTCATACCGAAAAATACATATTTTTTGATGATATTGTATGGGCTGAAAGTGTATTCTTAACTATCATCAGCATTTCTTTAATTGTGACAATCATAAAAATTGGTGATATCATTATTACAAAGTAAGTACCAAATTTTTGACCTTAATTTTGAAAGGGCTGACAATTAAAAATTAGTAAGATATGTCATTTTACTTGATAATACTATTATTCATTTATTTTTAGATGGAGAATATTTTTACTTTGGAAAACAATCACTAAATCTTTAGGATTAATAATGTCAGCGACTTTCATTATTTTGATAACACTCATGGGCTTTGGATCATTGACATTTCTCATATTTGGCACCCATGCATGGACTTATCATAACTTTCATTGGGCAACTGCTTCTCTTTTCAAGATTATGCCAGATCCTATGGATTTTACATATTTACCTGCTTGGAACACATGGACATCATTGCATTTAACGATGCCGATAATTAGTGGAATAATTACACTTGCATTATTAATTCTTCGATATCTTATATTTTCAATCATTTTAATGAGCTACGATGCTCTACGTTTTCAAACTGGAATTGAAAAGGATGTTCATCGTTTTTTGAAAGATCGTACCATTAAACGTTACTTTGAAATTGAAAGCTCAAAGTCTGACCTAAGGGTATAATTATATAACATCAACTATAATAATATTATATTCTTATATTCAATGAATTTTTATTTCTTAGATGTTTGAAAAATCAAATTTGGATTCACAACGATATCAAATTATTCTTCGACTTTTAAAAAACGCTGTTAATATAGAAGATAATGAAGCCAGACAGCAAGCCATGGGAAATTTACTATTATATAATTTAATTAAAAAGGCTGAATTAAAAAATTTTAAATCATCCGAAACTGAAATGACAAATCAGTTGAAAAATGATTTCTTAATGATTAACTCGCTTAGAGCTGCTTTACGGCTGCAAAGATTCTAGAATTTTCAAGATAAATAAAATAATAAAATTATGATATCATGAAAAAACCTAATTTTTCAAATGTTTCAATATTTGCCATGAACAAGTTATTGTAAATAAAAACTTTAAGAAATTCGTTAATAGTAAATTATGATAAAAGTGCATGAAAGACGTGATTTTTCTAGAATTTTGATTTCGTGATTATCACATACGCACATGAGTCTCGTATACTATTTTTTTTAACTAAGTGTGCAAGATTCGATTTCTCATGCCTATTTTTTAAACTGAGTGTGCGATGTGAGTTATAACTATGTCGCTAAGATACCATTTGTTTATCATAAGCAGCTGTTTGTTTCTCGATACCGTTTTGTTTATTATAAACAGTGACTTGAACTCACAATCAGTATGCAAAATTCGATTTCTCATGCCTGTTTTTTAAACTGAGTGTTTGATGTGGGTTTCAACTATATCGCTACGATACCCTCTGTTTATCATAAGCAGCTGTTTGTTTCTCAATATCGTTTTGTTTATCATAAACAGCGAGCTGAAATCACAATCGGTGTGCGAAATGATTATTTCGCTCAAAATGGGTGAATCGGGCACTTCGCACACTGCCAACGGGCATGAGAAATCGAATGTTGCAGACTGAGTTAAGAAAACTCTTTTATTTTTTCAATTTGTCGCAAATGACAATTGAAACATGTATGGTCAATATTTTCATTAGAATTCATCATGACGTCATTATGAATTGAACGTATGTCTTCAACATATGAAAAGTAACAAATCATCATAAATAATTAAGTTATTAACCGTCGTTGTTACTGCTGACAAAAATAAAAAACATGAATCGCTCGGAAAATTCATTATTTTACGAGCTTTCGACAGTTGCCGAGGTTATGATCAAGTCTAAAGTGACGTTGAATCACTTACAAGAAGAAACCAATGCCATGATAGATTTGTTACCGGAATTGGATATAATGTTGAAAAATCCCCGGTGTGACGAGGATGAGCTGAAATCTGAAAAGTACGAGAGAATAATGAAAATGAAGAAACATGCAGATTCACAAGCGATTAATAGTTCAGCACTGCAACAGAAAACTATGTTTACCCAAGAATTTCCTGATCGATTGAATAAACTTGAAAATTCAGCACGCGTATGTATATCGATACGGTATTGATATCTTTGATTGATTCGAACAATTACGAATGATTAAATCTTTTTAATCTCGCAGACTTTCTGGCTCTCGACATTCATGCTCTCCAGCAATTATTTGAGTGTTCCACAACCACCATTGCGATGCGATTGGTACACACCGCGTAAAAGATCAATTCCACGTATAGACGTGAAATTTTAAATAATTGCACAAACGACTTGCCAACTCCATAAGTTATGCAGTAAGTATCACGAGTACAAAAGGAACTCGACGGAATTCAAAAAGTAAGAGAAACTCCCAAAAAGCAATTACCATTATCATATGTTTCCAATACCATTACTATCATGTAGATACTTTCGTAATTAACTTTCGGGTAATTAAGGCGACAGTTAAATAACATACAGATAAGTTAAGAGATATATTTAATCTATTTTATTTGTATACAGACGTTAATCACCATATTTTAAGAATCGCATAAATGTGCACACACGAAGATGATTAATTATAGCCTGACCTTTATGCTGCAAATTATCAGAAATATGAAATTTAAAACATTTACCGATCCCAGGGAAATTCCACATGCCTAGAAACAATAGCCAAATTTTTTACACGATTCCTTGTTGTAAGATTGTATTCCTTGTTGTTTCTAAGTACATTTTTGCAAAAATAAAAATTTGCTGATAATATATTCTGTCACTATTATGGCTCCAGAAGTTACTGTAGTTTTTTAATGAGACTTTTTAGCGATAATGCATTCGTTTTATCATTTACTTAGTAACCGATATTCTGCCTGACAACTAAATACAAAGGTCATAAGTATTAATAACTGTTTACGTGTTAAAATATTACTCTGTTGCAATCATTTAAACGTTTATAAAACTGATTACGAATTGGGTTATCGTAATTAATATAAATGTACTATATATGAAGTATATACCTCTACATGTACGAGTAGAATAAGAGTTTTGGATGTCGAATTATGACACTCTTTTAAGGATTATTTTTATACGAAAATCAACTGTAATATTTAAAGTGAATGTTTCAATGTGCTTTCAATATATGTTTGAAGTGAAAAAAAATGTATTATTTCATTGCAAACTCAGTATATAATGACTAATCAAAGGAAAAAGAATGAAATCTGGAGAGTGGGCAAAGTTCAAGAAAATATCTGAACTTCACCTCATTACACATCTGCCTGTGAAATACATGTGATTCCATGATTCTTTCGTTTTTTTGTCCGCAACCAGTTTTCTTGTAAAGCATGTAATTAAAAGAATTTTTTTTCACTTCATTTTATTTTATAAATCGAATTACTTAACTCTGAAATTTCGATTTCACTGCATATAATTAAGTTAGTATGATAGAGTTTGGCTGAACTCAAATCAATAGTTATATATAATTGGTATAATAAATACCATAAACAACTAGAAAAACATATTACAAAATATGAATTCAATACTAGCAAATATAAATTTTTCTCATAAATAAATTATAATGTTTACTGAAAGAGCAAATCTGCATTGCCATTTTTTCCCTATTGTTTATGGATCAGGAAAAAGAGGACGCGAAAGAGAGGCAGCCGCCGCATTCCTTTTGTTTAACAGTAATTTCTCAATAACTATACAGTAAATTAAGTCTATATTTTTATAGTAATGCCTTAGATATTAAACTTTCCGCAAACAGATTTTAATGCATAGGTTCAGTTGCTAACTTTTGCGAAAATCAAGGACATCTTGCTAAATACAACCATTTTTTCTACACCACCTCAATTTTACCTAATAAATAATATCTCATTAACTAGACGATAAAAAAGAATTGTATATTTCATCCAATACACGCACAGGTTTGAGTTCTTTCGATTAGGCATTAAAAGATGTAAAGTCAACTTTATAACATACCATACTACCTTACTACCTTAAGGACTTATACCAGAGTATAATTTTCAAAAATTTGAATTTTTAATATTTTTTTAAAGTTTACAATATTGAAAATATTGTGTTGCAATATTTATTGCGAAATTTTAAAAAATTGTAAAAGTTATACATATAGGCTTAAGTGAGGAGTGGCGGTACCATGCGGACCGGCAGGCGTGAACATTTGCATGCGTTTCAGGTATATGGAGTGAATTTCGTCAGCTGGTCCTTCCAAGTCTCCGTGTTGTGCAGTATATCAGAATTCAAGAAGCAGAATGGAAAAGCTAATATTAATAGTGATTCGAAAGTAACAAGAGATAAGTAATTCTGATATCTCGAAAACAATTCGAACGATTTTCATGAAAATTTGTGACAACATACTTGAAAAGGTTCCTTTCTTGATGACATTCTCGCTTTTTTTAAAATCCATTTTTCAATAAAAAATGGGTCAAAAATTGACGTCCAAATTCAAATGGCCGCCATTTTTCCCAAAACTTTTTTTTTCTTTTCTTCTCGTCAATAAGAGCGTAATATATGACTTATTGAGAAAAAACATGGTTTTTTGTTTCCGACGAACCGCCACCGTTAAATAAGGGACACTGCAAAGGCCTTCTTCAAAAACATAATTTACGCGAGCTTCGATAAACATTGTATAATAATAATCAAATTTCTTGAAAAAATTATCAAATATACCTCAATAAACCCTCTTTCCAACATACCATCAATGATTATAATAGAATGCATAGTTACCGAGAAAAAAAATCGCAAAGTAGGCCTACTTTTTCACCCATTTACTCTGATGTAAGCCTATAAGTTAAAAACATTTCTTTTCGTTACAAAGTTGTATTGCAATTCATTAACCCCTGTCCGATAGAATATGTGTGACCTATGCATTGATATAAAAAATGTATGAAGCTTGAATCAGATGTTTTGGACTTAAAATACATAACGTGAAGTGACCCATGACATTTTCTCATACGTTAGCGTCGATGCCCGTCGTTTATAATTAGTAATTACACACTAACGCTTCATATAATTGTGTGCATATTTACAAATTTTAGCCAATGACGGCTTTGTGTTGTAGGACCACAGGTCACGAGCGAATATTAATGATTAGAAAAAGAAGAGACTATAAAAGGAGCGAAAATATCAATAACGGAACATCATTATTCTCGGTGTCCTCTCAGTATCATGCAAATTTTTCGTTGCGGTTCCTGAGTTAAAGAAGTCAAAAAAATTTTAGCAACGAAGCCAAGAAGGATTTAGAGACGGGGAAGTAACATTTCTGGAGGAAAATTTTTTTTCAAAAATGATAAAGGAATTTGTGGCCCTTTTGGTAGTCGCAGGCATCGCGGCTAACGCAATGAGTGTGCACACAGCAAACAAGGACTTCCTCGTGAAACAGAAGAAACTGTATGACCTTTTGTATTTCAAAACCTTCGATAATGAGCTTTTAGAATTGGCTAAGAGCTACGATGTCGGTAAGAACATCGACTCCTACGAAAATAAGGTGAAGAACACTTTTTAAAATTTTTTATTACACCTTTGCATTATAATTTATCTCACTGCCAATATTTATGTCCATTTTCATACATTACAGACTGTTGTCACGGAATTTCTGAAACGTTTCCAATTCGGTATGCTGCCAAAAGGCAAGCTCTATTCCACTCAGTACATGAAGATGCGCGATGAGGTCACTGCTCTCTACAATCTTTTCTATGAGGCCAAAGACTTTGATACTTTCTACAAAACGGCAATTTGGGCCAAGATGCATCTTAATGAGATGATGTTCTCCTACGCCTACCAAATTGCAGTTTTCCATAGACCCGATACCAAGTACATTACTCTGCCACCTCTATACGAAGTCAACCCATTCTATTTCTTCGACTCTCAATTGATCAACGATGTTAAAAACATCAAGATGAAGTATGGTAAAGACGCATACGGTTTAACAAAATTTTAATGTAAATTAAGACACAGTTGAGACTTTAATGTTAAAAATTAATTCTGTGTTTACAAATGATCATTCCTACCGTTTCTTGTACAATTATATAATAATGTTGTATAGTAGTATAAAATTTGGTAAAGTTAACCATTGCAATAATTATTTTACTTAACTGGCGTAAAATCCAACTCTGCAGGTACTGCCAAACTTGAGAAGAATTACTTGGTTTTCGCCAATTACACTCCCATGTGCTCGATGGACACTTATCTCGAGAGCGACCACAAGCTTAACTACTTTATGGAAGACATCGGCTTGAATTCTTACTACTACCACATGAGGGCCATGTTTCCGCTCTTTGTATCCGACAAGAACCTGAACTACACCAGGGATGTCCGAGGCGAGATCTATCTGTACGGACACAAACTGCTCATGTCCAGATACTACATGGAGCGTCTTTCCAATGATCTTGAAGATGTTGAAGACTTCGATTGGACTATGCCATTTGTTCCTGGATTCTACAAAGAGATGGTCCATCCGAATGGCGTGATGTTCCCGCAGCGCGAGAGCTACCAGACTCTACCTTCCTACAAGTACAAATACATGAAAGTAAGTAATATTTAAGCAACGCATGAATTTAATGACCTATAACATTCATCTTGGAAGAATGTACAGAAGAAGAATAGAAGAAGTTAAAAATGTACGCTTTCTTTTGTAGGAGGCTAGGGAAGTGGAATCTCGCATTATGGAACTCATCGACTTTGGTTACGTCTACGGCCTTGACGGTAAACCGGTGGACATTTACACACCCGCTGGTTACAACGTACTCGGAAACATCATCGAGGGTAACAAAGATTCCTACAACGGTAGATATTACAAGAATTTAGACGTTCTCATCAGGAAGGTCTTTGGCGCTACCAGGATGGCTAATCACAAATATGACATCGTGCCCAACGCACTGGACCTTTACGTCACTAGCATCAGGGACCCTGCCTTCTACCGTATCTACAAGAGGATCGTGAACCTGTACCAAAGGTAAGTATCAGGAACTAAGACATCTAATAAGTAAGTACGGCTGGATCTTAACTAAGCTAACTAATTTACTGATATAGGTACATGGTGAACATGAAGCCTTACACTCGCGAGCAGCTGAACTTCCCCGGAGTGAAGCTCAACGACGTCGTTGTTGACAAGATGGTTACCTATTTCGATCAGGTCGACATACCAGTTACCAAGGCTTTGAGTTTCAAGGACCGCATCGATGAAATGTCTTACAGCATCAAGGCTCGTCAGTACAGACTGAATCACAAACCTTTCTCCTACACCTTCGACATTGAGAGTGACAAGGACACCACTGCCCTGATTCGCATCTTCTTGGGACCCGCCTTCGACATTCACGGCAAAAGGATAAACCTCGAATCTAGCTGGATGAAATATATCATCTTGGATTTCTTCGAAGTAAACCGTAAGTTCAAGTACTTAGGGTACCAACGACATGGTCCCAAACGAGTTTTTAAAAAAATAAATTGGTCTAATGTGTTCATAAAACAATTAATATAACATTTCATCGTTTCAGTCAAGGTCGGCAAGAACAAGATCGTCCGTAGCAGCACAGAGTCTGTCTTCGTGGTCCCTGACGAACTGTCGAGCGAAGCATTTTATGCGAAGCTCCAAAAGGCCATGGAAGGTAGCGAGCCTTTCGTTTACACGGAGAACATCTACGGATTCCCCGACAGATTGATACTGCCTAAGGGTAAACCTCAAGGAATGCCGTATCGTCTCTTCTTCCACGTGGTAGAGCTGGACAAGACTCAAATCGTAAACATGGAGCTTCCCTTAATGGGCAAACTTTACCATGATGAAAAAGGAATGGGCTATCCTCTTGACAGACCAATCTGCATCTGGGACTTCATGACCCCTAACATGTACTTGAAGGATGTATTTATCTATCACGAAGACATGATGCAGGAGGTCGTAAGAGAGAAGATACATGAAGACGAGATTAAGATGAAGAAGTTACAAGCGATGAACAATTAAATTGTTATCATAAGACCGTCAAAAATACTGCCCTAGTGCTCCTTTATGGTAGCACTTAATGATCTCTACTTTTCGCGATCAACGGTCGATACTCATATCTGTGAAATGACTAGATAATAATTTTTGAAAATAATAATTCTTTTTTCATGCATATAAATACAAAGAAATTAAGAACATTGCTTTTTCTATATCCAATGTCTAACGCCATTAATGGCATTATAGATTCTAAGCTTAAGAGCACTGTCGGTGCGCAAGTTGAAACACAAATTAAGGGAATCGAATGAGTTCGAGGAATTTACGTAAGAAACTTTTCGAACAGTTTCTGAGATAGAAGTGCTTTCGTGGATATAGCGTGTACCAATCATTCATTTGAGAAAGGATGTCGAATATTTATGGAAATCAAAGCTTATTCAAGTTATACATATATATGTAATAAGAGCTGATTGGTAACAACTGACTTCCATGTACAAAATATTTTCTTTTGGTTACTTCTAAATTTTTGTTATCAAATTTAAAAGCCTCGCTAGCCACTACGGCCTACGTAACACTTGGCTTAGTTTTTTTTTTTTAATTCAAGATAATATCACACATATAATTGGTCCACGAGTTCTATGCGTAGTTTTGGTAGATCGAAAAGCACCGAAGTTTCTAGAAAACCATATGCAGCTCTGCATATAATTTCTTTCATAAAGTAGGTATATATATCAGTAAAAAATAGTTGTTAAAAAAAGGATAGATAGCTGAAAGTTTGAAATCCTTGTAAAAAGGACGATAACGTTAAAAAACAGTGTAATATTAGAATAGTTACAATGATGACGTTCATGATTACTTCGAGGTATGTCAACTCAATTCACAGTGCGATTCTAACTACAGAAAGTTATTAATACGGTAATCAATTATAGAAATTATCAAGTGATAAGGTTGATTGAAAATGCATAACATTTTGAAATTCGTACCAAGCGTGTTAAAGTTCAAGCTTAAAAAATCATCTGCATAGTTATCGAGTTAAGAAAGCGTTACGAAACGAAAAAACAACAGAA